CATTTCACCCAGACAGTAATATGCACTTGTAGAAGGAATCACAACTCCCCCACAACCCACAACACAGGTTCACAGAATGTCACAAAGACCCATACACATACATAGAATGACAATGTGCACATACTCATGCATGTACACACACACACACACACAGATACACAGAATCAGAAAGTGACATGGGGCTGGCATGGTGGCTCAAGCCTATAATCCTAGAACTTTGGGAGGCTGAGGCAGGAGGATCACTTGAGCCCAGGAGTTTGAGACCAGCCTGGGCAACATGGTAAGGCTCTGTCTCTACAAAAAAATGAAAATAATTAGCTGGGCCTGGTGTCATGCACCTGTAGTCCCAGCTACCGGGAAGGGTGAGATGGGGGGATTGCTTGAGCCCAGGAGGCTGCAGTGAGCTATGATCACACCACTGCACTCCAGCCTGGGTGAGATAGTGAGACCCTGTCTCAAAAGAAAGAAAGGGCTGGGCATGGTGGCTCATGCCTGTAATCCCAGCACTTTGGGAGGCCGAGGCAGGCAGATCACCTGATCACCTGAATTCAGGTGTTCCAGACCAGCCTGACCAACGTGGTGAAACCCTGTCTCTACTAAAAATGCAAAAGTTAGGTCCAGGCACAGTGGCTCATGCCTGTAATCCCAGCACTTTGGGAGGCCAAGGCTGGCGGATCATGAGGTCAGGAGATTGAGACCATGGTGAAACCCTGTCTCTACTAAAAATACAAAAAATTAGCTGGGTGCGGTGGTGGGTGCCTGTAGTCCCCGTTACTCGGGAGGCTCAGGCAGGAGAATGGTGTGCACCCAGAAGGCGGAGCTTGCAGTAAGCCAAGATCGCACCACTGCACTCCAGCCTGGGTGACAAAGCCAGACTCTATCTAAAAAAAAAAAAAAAAAAAAAAAATTAGCTTGGTGTGGTGGTGCACGCCTGAAATCCCAGCTACTTGGGAGACTGAAGCAGGAGAATTGCTTGAACCTGGGTGGTGGAGGTTGCAGTGAGCAGAGAATGTGTCACTGTACTCCAGCCTGGGCAACAGAGTGAGACTCCAAGAGAAAAAAAAAAAAGAAAAGAAAGAGAGAACGGAAGGAAGGAAGGAAAGAAGGAAGGAAGTAAAAAAAAAAAAAAAAGACACTCAGCCGCCAGTGCACCCACACTCCCAGAGGAGATCCAAAAGATGAGTCAACACACAGAGTTCTGGTGCCTACCAAGGTGAGGTTTTTATGGTGGTATAGAGATTGGTGAGTTTCAGAGCCAGTGTGTCCGGTCTAGTCCCTCCCCTTTCCCTAGCCCAGCACAATTCCCTCCATTGAGGATCCACATCACCTCCAGAGGGAGGAGGTAGGGGTCACACCCCCCCCATAGCACCAATCTGGATAGGCCACCCCCTGATGAAACAGAGCAAGCAGTGCCTTCCACAAAGGGGGTAAATGGGGCTAAGAAGGGGGAGGCCTTTTCCTGTGGGAGACCAAGAGTAGCACCATTTGCAGAAAGAAAGCTGGGGGGTAAGGGAGGCACATAGATGGTGGCAGAGAGCTGAGGGGTCCTGGCCTCTCTCCCCACCCGGCAATATGCAGACAGTGCCGTGCCTGTGCGTGTGCCTGTGCGTGTGCCTGTGCGTGTGCCTGTGCGGCTGGAGAAGTCTTCGGACTGCAAACCACCCAAGAGGTGAGGGAGCCCCAGGTGCCCCGAACCATGTGGGGTAAAGTCAAGGTAAGTGCATGTCTGGAGGGCTGGGGTGGGAAGTGGAGGCAGTTCTGGGGCACAGAGATTGTAGGCAATGAGAATGGAGAGGCATGAAGTCCAGGAGCAGCACAGCCTAGAGGGTAGGGGTCTAGAATGGGAAGACTTAAGACTGAAGGAAGGAATTGGGGTAAGTTTAGTGGGGTGGGAAGCCCAGAATAGATTTAGGAGGGTGGGGTCTGGAATTAGAAAGTTAAGGTTATAAGATTCCGAACCAGAGGAATCTTTAGGGAAAAGTCTAGATTCCATAATCAGAAGCATTTGGAGGCTGAATTATAGAACCAGAAGAATTTGGATCTGATATCAAAGACAGCTGGAAGCTGTGAGGCTTAGAAGCAGAGGAATTTATAGAATAAGGCACAGAATCAGAAAAAGCCTGGCTGGGCTCAGTGGCTTATGCCTGCAGTCCCAGCACTTTGGTGAGGCCAAGGAGGGAGAATTGCTTGAGCTCAGGAGTTCGCGACCAGCCTGGGCAACATGGCGGAACCCCGTCTCTATTTTTTTTTTTTTTAATAAAAAAAGGAAAAACAAAAGCCTAAAATCTTGAGTTCTAGAACCAGAGAGATTTGGGGACCATAAGATCTAGAATCAGAAGGAGTTGAGGGTGGTAAGATCTAAAACCAGAGAACTGTATAAGGTAAAGTCTAAAATCAGAAGATATTTGAAGGCTGAATTCTAGACCCAGGGTAATTTGGAGTCAGATCTTGAGTGAGCAGGAGCTGGAAATGATGAAGTCTAGAGCCAAAGGAACTTACGGAATGAGGTCTAGAATCAGAAGGCACTTGTAAGTCAGTTCTAGAACCAGAGAAACAGCAGATCACCAGATCTTGAATCAGAGGACCCTGGAGGTAGCACTGTCTAGAAGTTGTGTAGTCTGGAACTAGTGAGTGGTGCAGGTCATGAGGTTCAGAATCTAAGAGAACTAGAGCATTGTCTGGTTCTAGAAGAACTGGTTATTATAAGATAAGGACAGGGCTGGGCATGGTGGCTCCTGCCTGTAATCCCAGCACTTTGGGAGGCTGAGGTGAGCAGATCACTTGACGTCAGGAGTTCAAGACCAGCCCGGCCAACTTGGCGAAACCCTGTCTCTACTAAAAAAAAAAAAAAAAAAAAAAAAAATTAGCCGGACATGGTGGTGGGCTCCTGTAATTCCAGCAACTTGGGAAGCTAAGGCAGGAGAATCGCTTGAACCCAGGAGGCGGAGGTTGCAGTGAGCCTAGATGGCACCACTGTACTCCAGCCTGGGCAACAGAGAGAGACTCCATCTCAAAAAAGAAAAAGAAAAAAAGAAAAAAAAAGATAAACACATCAAACTCTCTGTACTTGTTTTTGATGAGGGCAAATGAGTCTTGAGTATAGAGAACTGCAGAAAAATAAGCTGAACCTCATAAGGTCTAAAACAAAAGTGATTTAGAAACTAAGAAGTCCAGCCAGGCGTGGTGGCTCACTCCTGTAATTTCAGCACTTTGGGAGGCTGAGGCAGGTGGATCAGTTGAGGTCGGGAGTTCAAGACAGCCTAGCCAATATGGCGAAACATTGTCTCTACTAAAAATATAAAACTTAGCCGGGCATGGTGGCACACGCCTGTAATCCTAGCTATTTGGGAGGCTGAGGCCCAAGAATCGCTTGAACCCAGGAGGTGGAGGCTGCAATGAACCGAGATTGCACCACTGCACTCCAGCCTGGATGACAGAGTGGGACTCTTGTCTCAAAAAAAAAAAAAAAAAAAAAAGAGAGAGAGACTGACCAGGCCCAGTGGCTCACGCCTGTAGTCCTAGCACTTTGGGAGGCCGAGGCAGGCGGATCACAAGGTCAGGAGATCGAGTCCATCCTGGCTAACATGGTGAAACCCAGTGTCTACTAAAAATACAAAAAATTAGCCGGGCATGGTGGCGGGCACCTGTAATCCCAGCTACTCAGGAGGCTGAGGCAGGAGAATGGCGTGAACCCGGGAGGCGGAGCTTGCAGTGAGCCGAGATCCTGCCACTGCACTCCAGCCTGGACGACAAAAAAAAAAAAAAAAAGAAAACAAAAGAGAGATATTAAGAGGTCTGGATTTGGAACCAAATATATTACCAATCAGGAGGAGTGGAACCAACAGGAAGCTTGGCGTTGTGGGGTTCAGAACCAGAGGAAATCACTGAATATAAGATCTGGAACCAGGGGGAGTTGGAGGGTGTGAGATCTAGAACAAGAGAGATTAATTTATAGGAAGAGGTCTAGAACCAGAGGAAGTTAGTGAATTCTAGAACCAAAAGAATCTGGGAGTCATAGACTGTAGAGCCAGAGGGAATTAGAGGTTGCGAGGCCCAGAACCAGACAATTTTTGGGGACCGTGAGGTTTGAAAACAGGCAGAATGAGAGGTTGGTGAGGTCCAGAACTAGAAAGAGCTGAAGATGGTGAAATTTGAAGCAGAGGGATTTTAGAGAATGTGAGTCCTAGCTGGGCACAGTGGCTCACGCCTGTAATCCCAGCAATTTGGAAGGCTGAGGCAGGTGGAGCACTTGAGGTCAGAATTCGAGACCAGCCTGGACAACGTGGTGGAACCCCGTCTCTGCTAAAAATACAAAAATTAGCTGGGCATGGTGGCACATGCTGTAGTCCCAGCTATTTGGGAAGCTGAGGCAGGGGAACCACTTGAACTCAGGACGTGGAGGCTGTAGTAAGCCGAAGTTGCACCACTGAACTCCAGCCTGGGTGACACAGCAAAACTCTGTCTCAAAAAAAAAAAGAAAAAAGAAGAAGAAGAAGGAGAGGAAGAGGAAGAGACGAAGAGGAAGAGAGGAAGAGGAAGAAGAGGAAGAGAAAAAGGAAGGAGGAGGAAGAGGAGGAGGTCTAAAGCAGACCACATTGGAGGTTGTGTGGTCTAGAACCAGTGCAGGTCAGAGGTTACACAGTCTGGAACTGGAGCAGGTTGGAGGTTGCATAGTTTGGAAGCAGAGGAAGTGGAAGGCTGCTCCTGAAGTAGGAGGACCATGAATGAAGTCAGTGTCCAGGCAAAGCTGGGGGCAGCAGGAAGCCCAGAGTGGAAGGGGCAGGCAGGGCTGGCAGGCAGGGCTTGGGGGGCTTTGGCCTCAATTAGAAGTCGCTGGGAGTAACGTCTGGCCCAGGGCCTCCCCACACTGACACCTGAGGAGGGGGGGAAGATCAGAGTCCCACATTCTTACAGACCCCAGGCAATTCATCATGATTAAAAACCATATCACGAAATTGACAAAAATAAAAATAATAACATAAGGATAGAAGGAAACGTGATCACACTGACCTGTGGATCATTGTTCTCCCCAGAACCTGGAAACACAGATACGGCCCCCTGCCAACCCTCCCCACCCCTAATTCCCCAAAATAAAGCCAAGAGAGGCAGAGAAAGGGATAATGAGGTAACCAAGTATTGAGAACCCCAAGAGAAATCCTGAGAGGAGGAGGAGGGAGCCAGGGACCCCCTCCCAGAGGTCACTGAGCTGAGACTACCCCAAAGAGCCCCCAGACTGGGAGCAGGCAGAGGGGTGAGGGCTGAGGTAGGCCCGAGGTGGGCAGGGGGCACATAGAGAGGAGAGGGGCCCCTCTCCTGGCATCCCCATCCTGTGCGTTGGCTGCCGGCTTGGAGTGTGGTTGAGGTCCTCTCTGGGGGAGGAGAAGGCAGATGGGGAGAGGAGGCGGCTCAGTCGGCTTGGGCCGAGCCTGCCGTTGGCTGGAAGTGGTCCCTGGGCTGGGTAGTGTCCTCGTCTGAGTACGGAGAGAGCAGTGAGGGGCCCAGGCCTGCAAAGATGAAAGATAAATCAGAGGACAACCATAACCCCAATGTTTGAAATAATGTTTAAAATCTGAAGGAAATAGAACACTTGAACAAAGGATTTTTAGTAAAGTAATTTTACTTTTGCACAGAGGGGTGCCTCTTTGGCTAGTTACCAGGAGAGCACGCTTGAACAAAGGGGCACGAGAGCCTTTATTTTTGACGCAAGTCTTGCTTTTGTACTTTTTTTTTTTATTGGCTGGGGTCGGGTTATACAATTTAAATTAATTTTGGTTGGCTAAACATTTGATTTGTTTAGATAAGATGGGCACGTTAAAGAAAGCAGAGAGGAAAGGGGAAGCGGTGTCCGCAATGAGTTAGAAAGTTAGTCCTTTTTTTAAATAAGGACAGGAACGTGAGCTGGTATTGATAACGCCTGGTATTGTGGCGTGTCTGGGCATTCAAAAAAGGCAAAAAGGAAAAAAGGAGAAAAAGGGAAAAAGGCGGTGGGGAGAGGTACTATGAATGAAAGAATAAAAGATTGGTTGGATTATTTGAAGAGAAACCTCATCAGATCCCACACCAACCCGTCTCCCCTTCCTGGGACTTAAAAGCCTGGGTGGTGAGGGAGGCCTGCCTGGATTCAAACGGCAGTGACATCTTGGGCACGTTCCGCTCTTTGAACCTCTCTGGGGTGTTCAGGACTGCAGTGAAGAACCCGAGTCCAGAGCCAGATGCTGCCCTAGTTTGAATCCAGGTGTTGATATTTACTTGCTGTGTGACCTGGGGCAGGTGACTTCACCTCTCTGTGCCTCAGTTCCCTCATCTGTAAGATAGGCTAATAACAGCACCTCCCTCTTGGGCTGTTGTAAGGAATAAATGAGTAAATCTATGGAAGGTGCTTTGAACCATAACTAGTACTGGTGAAAAAGCAGTTAAGTCAGCTGTTGTTACTTGGGAAACCAGGATACTCACACGTACTTCATTTATGAGAGTTTATTCATTCAAAACATATTTACTGTCGGGCGCGGTGGTTCATGCCAATAATCCCAGCACTTTGGGAGGTCAAGGCAGGTGGATTACTTGAACTCAGGAGTTCAAGACCAGCTTGGGCAACATGGCGAAACCTCGTCTCTACAAAACATACAAACATCAGCCAGGCATGATGGCACATGGCTGTGGTCCCAGTTACTTGTGGGGGCTGAAGTAGGAAGATTGCTTAAGCCCAAGAGGTCGAGACTGCAATGAGCCATGTTTGTGCCACTGCACTCTAGCCTGGGTGACACAGTGAGAACCCGTCTTAAAAACAACAACAAAAAAAACCCCCGACACATTTACTGAGCACCTACTTTGTGTCAGGTACTGTGCCAGGTGCTAGAGAGACAGCAGTGACCAGGATGGATGAATCTCCCTGCTCTTGTAGGACCGACATTCCAGTGAGAAGCACCAATTGGATCAGGTACATACAAGATTTAGCACAAAGCTAGACACAGCACAAGTGCGTGAATCTTAGCTCCTCATTCACAAATATGTGCTGTGAACTTCCTCTATGCTCAACCACTGCCCATCCATGTGCACAAAGAAGAGTACAGCAGGGACCCAGACACCCCTGGCCCCCGCCCTTGAAGGCCTCATACCCAAAGGAGAAGACAGACAGTCATCAAATGATGACCCAAAGGCCTGTGTAATTATGGACTGTTATAAACCATTAGCACATGAAATCAGGGAGGGCTTTGTGTAAGGAGTAATATTTGATTTGAGATCTAAAGGATGTAGTAACATGGCAAAGAACAGAGGGAAAAGTATTCCAGGCAGAAGGATCAGGATATGCAAAGGCCCTGAGGCAGCCTCCTCGAGCAAGGTGACTTTAAAGCCATCACAATGCCCCACAGAGTCTCCATGCAGTCAGCCTTCACCTTTCTCTCCTCTCTGCTTCAGCTACAATGGCCTTGCTTTTCCCCAAATAAGACAGAGACAGCCAGGCATAATCTCAGCACTCTGGGAGGCTGAGGCAGGAGGATCACTTGAACCCAGGAGTTTGAGACCAGCCTGAACAACACAGCAAGACCTCTTTCTCTACAAACATTTAAAAATTAGCTAGACATGATGAAGTGTACTTGTAGTCCCAGCTACTCAGGAGACTGAGATGGGATGATCGCTGGAGCCCAGGAGTTCAAGGCTGCAGTGAGCTGTGATTGCACTACTGTGCTCCAGCCTGGGCAACAGAGCAAGACCCACTCTGTCCCTCCACCCCCAAAAAAGACAGATACAGTCTCCACCTAAGGGCCTCTGCACTTGCTGTTCTCTCTGCCTGGGACACTCTTCCCCCTGATATCGTCAGGACTCACCCCAGGTCTTTGCTCAACTATCACCTTCTCAATGAAACCACCCTGATCATACTGTTTAAAACTGAAATCCCCTACTCCAAACTCTTTTTCCTTGCATGCATCATTTCCCCTGTTACGCTTATTTTTATCTCCCACTCTTTTTTTGTTCATTTGTTTGTATTTTTATTTTTTGAGACAGAGTCTTGCTGTATTGCCCAGGCTGGAGTGCAGTGGTGTGATCTTGGCTCACTGCAACCTCCGCCTCCTGGGCTCAAGTGATTCTCCTGTCTCAGCCTCTCGAGTAGCTGGGATTATAGGCACCCGCCACTGCGCCTGGCTGATTTTTGTATTTTTAGTAGAGACAGGGTTTCACCATGTTGGCCAGGCTGGTTTTGAACTCCTCACCTCAGGTGATCCGCCTGCTTCAGCCTCCCAAAGTGCTAGGATTACAGGCATGAGCCACCACACCTGGCCTGTTTGTTTATTTAAATAGAGACAGGAGCCTGGTGCGGTGGCTCACGTCTGTAATCCCAGCACTTTGGGAAACTGAGATGAGCGGATCACTTGAGCTCAGGAGTTCAAGACCAGCCTGGGCAATGTGGTGAAACTCTGTCTCTAATAAAAATACAAAAAAAAAAAAGCCAAGTGTGCTGGTGCCCACCTGCGGTCCCAGCTACTCGGGAGGCTGAGGTGGGAGGATCGCTTGAGCCTGGGGGCACGCAGGCCGCAGTGAGCAGACAGTACGCCACTGCACTCCAGCCTGGGTGACACAGCGAGACCCTTCTAAAAAAAAAAAAAAAAAAGAGAAAGCCTGTAATCCCAGCACATTGGGAGGCTGAGGCAGGCGGATCACGAGGTCAGGAGATCAAGACCATCCTGGCTAACGTGGTGAAACCCCGTCTCTACTAAAAATACAAAAAATTAGCTGGGCAAGGTGGTGGGCGCCTATAGTCCCAGCTACTCGGGGGGCTGAGGCAGAAGAATGGTGTGAACCCGGGAGGCAGAGCCTGCAGCAAGCCGAGATCGTGCTGCTGCACTCCAGCTTGGGTGACAGAGTGAGACTCCATGTCAAAAAAAAAAAAAAAAAAAAAAAGAGAGAGAGAGAGAGAGAGAGAAAGAAAATAAAAATGTGAAAAGAAATAAATAGAGACAGGATCTCGCCCTGTCACCCAGGTTGGAGTACACTGGTGCAGTCACAGCTCACTGCAGCCTCGAACTCCTGGGCTTAAGCAATCCTCCCATTTCAGCCTCCCATAACTAGGACAACAGGTACGTGCCACCACACCCACCTGGTTTTAAAAAATTTTTTGCAGAGACAGGGTCTTACCATGTTTCCCAGGCCGGTCTCGAACTCCTGGTCTCAAGTAATCCTCCCCTCCACAGCCTCCCAAAACACTGTGATTACAGGCATAAAACACTCACCCAGCCCTCTTGCACTTTTTTATTTGAGACAGGGTCTCGCTGTGTTGCCCAGGCTGGAGTACAGTGGCACCATCATAGCTCACTGCAGCCTTGAACTCCCAGGCTCAAGTGATCCTCCCACCTCAGCCCCCAGAGTAGCGGGAACTATAAGCATGCACCACTATGCCCGGCCAATTAAAAAAAATTTTTTAGGCCAGGTGCAGTGGCTCACACCTGTAATTTCAGCACATTGGTAGGTCAAGGCAGGCAGATCACCTGAGGTCAGAAGTTCAAGGCCAGCCTGGCCAACATGGTGAAATCCCGTCTCTCCTAAAAATACAAAAATTAGCTGGACACGGTGGCACGTACTAGCTACTTGGGAGGCTGAGGCAGGAGAATCGCTTGAACCCAGGAGACAGAGGCTGCAGTGAGCCAAGATTTCACCACTGCACTCCAGCTTGGGCGAAAGGGCAGTGTAGAGACAAGGTCTCGCTATACTCTCCAGGCTGATCTCAAACTCCTAGCCTCAAGTGATCCTCCCACTTTGGCCTCCCCAAGCTTTGGGATTACAGAGCCACCTTGCCCAGCCTCCCTCTTGCACAGTTTCTCATACTCGTTTCTTTGTTACAGTCTGTCTCCTGCACTAGAATGTCAGCTCCGCGAGGGTAGAGATTTCTGTGTAATTTGTTCACAGTGAGTCCGCAGCCCCCGGAACCATGCCTGGTGCTTACGGCGTGCTCCATAAATATTTGTTACATGCATGAAGGAAAGAATAAACCGAACGATAGTGACTGTGGCTGAAACAGAGGGTGTGAAGCACAGCATGGTCTGAGATGTGGCAAAGACTGGACCCTACAGGGATCTGAATCCAAATGAGGAGCTTGATCTTTCTTTGACGGGCACTAGGGAGCCATAGAAGGGTTTTGAGCAGAGGAGGGCCAGGGTCCAATTCAGGCTCTGAAAAGATCCCTCTGGCTGATACCTGGAGGTTTCAAGTGAAGCTGTGCACTAGGAAATGACAGCTTGTCTCATGCTCTGTGGAGGGGCTGTGGGAAGCAGCATCACCACCATAGCCACATGGGAAGACATTTCCTTTAATTTGTTGTTGTTGTTGTTGTTGTTCATCTTAAACCATTTTTAGGCTGGGTGCAGTGGCTCATGCCTGCAATCCCAGCACTTTGGGAGGCCAAGGCGGGTGGGTCACCTGAGGTCAGGAGTTCGAGACCAGCCTGGCCAACATGGTGAAACCCCGTCTCTACTAAAAATACAAAAAATTAGCCAGGTGTGGTGGCATGTGCCTGTAATCCCAGCTACTCAGGTGGCTGAAGCAGGAGAATCGTTTGAACCTGGGAGGCAGAGGTTGCAGTGAGCCGAGGTTGCACCACTGCACTCCAGCCTGGACAACAGTGTGAGACTCCGTCTCAATAAATAAATAAATAAAATTAGAAATACAAAAAATAGGCCGGGCGCGGTGGCTCAAGCCTGTAATTCCAGCACTTTGGGAGGCTGAGATAAGTGGATCATGAGGTCAGGAGATCGAGACCATCCTGGCTAACATGGTGAAACCCTGTCTCTACTAAAAATACAAAAAACTAGCCAGGCATGGTGGCGCACGCCTGTAATCCCAGCTACTTAGGAGGCTGAGGCAGGAGAATAGCTTGAACTCGGGAGGCAGAGCTTGCAGTGAGCCGAGATCGTGCCACTGCACTCCAGCCTGGGTGACAGAGTGAGACTCCATCTCAAAAATAAATAAATAAATAAAGTGTGATCATAGGCGTGCAGGCTCCAGAGACCTAGGCTCGGGCTTCCACCCCAAAGGGCAGCTTTGGAGAGCCCCTGCCTCCCTTAGGGTCTCTCTTCCTCTCTTCTCCGCAGTGCCCATGAGAAGACAGAAGAGACAGGAGCTGCCATTTCCATCAAGGTCATCTCCAAGCACTGACAGTCCCCCAGCACCTTTGGAATGGCTCCATCCCTCTCACACCTCCCAGGGGAGAGGGTGCCCTGGGACTCTGGATACCCAGGTTGCTACTCACCCAGGGGCTCATTCAGGTCCAGGAGGTGGGTGCTGGGGTCCTGCAGCCTCCCTGGGGCTGGTCCTCCTGTCAGAAGGAAACTCTGTGGGAGAGAGAGACAAAGCCACCACCATTATCATCATCATCCTTAGTATCCCAGGAACGGCCAGGCTCGGTGGCTGTAATCATAGCACTTTGGGAGGCTGAGGCGGGAGGATCGGGAGGATCACTTAAGTCTGAAAGTTTGAGACCAGCCTGGGCAAGATAGTGAGATATCATCTCTACAAAAATTTAAAAATTAGCTGGGTGTGGTGGCAAGTGCCTGTAGCCCTAGTTACTTAGGAGGCTGAGGTGAGAGGATCCCTTGAGACCAGGAGTTTGAGGTTGCAGTGAGCTATGATCGCGTCACTGCATTCCAGTCTGGGCGACAGAGCCCCTATCTCTAAAAAAATAATAAAAATAAAATAAAATAAAAATAAGGCCAAGCACAGGGGCTCATGCCTGTAACTCTAGTGCTTTGGGAGGCCAAGGTAGGAGGACCACTTGAGGTCAGGAGTTTGAGATCAGCCTGGGCAACATAACGAGACCCTAGTTCTACAAAAAATTTTAAAAATGAAAGAAGCTGGGCACGGTGGCTCATGCCTGTAATCCCAGCACTTTGGGAGGCTGAGATGGGCGGATCATTCGAGGTCAGGAGTTTGAGACCAGCATGACCAACATGGTGAAACCCCATCTCTACTAAAAATACAAAAATTAGCAGGGTGTGGTGGCGCGTGTCTGTAATCCCAGCTACTTGGGAGGCAGAGGTAGGAGAATTGCTTCAACCTGGGAGGAGGAGGTTGTAGTGAGCCAAGATTGTGCCACTGCACTCCAGCCTGGGTGACAGAGTGGACTCCATCTCAAAAAAGAAAGAAAAGAAAGGAAAGAAAGGAAAGGAAAAAGAGAAAGGAAGGAAGGAAAAAAAATATATATCCAAAGACAAGATGGCGCAGTGATTAAGGGCTACTGGGGTCCAGTGGCCACCCATCCGTGGTGTGACTTTGAGTCAGTTCCTGTTCAGTCATCCTACTTGTGTTCTTCCAGAGCCTCATTCCCCCTTCTCCTTCTTCCTTCTCCCGAGGACCTGTGCACAGGGACCGTAACAGCGTGCAACTTTGCTCTGTGTGATCCTGCTGGTTAGCTCACGGGAGATACCAGCAGGTGGGGTATTCATTCTTCCCTGTGAGTTGGCGGTGTCCCTCCCTGGAAGGTTTCAGCCCTCATTACCTGGACTCCACGCGCTGCAGGATCTGGTGACCACCCCACCCTGCACCTTCAGGCCAGGGCTGGTGCCCACTTCCCATGCTGTGCCCCAGGGTGCTGCACCAGCCTTGCTGATTTCCCTACGCTATATTAACACCTTTTTCAACAGTCCTGTTATTAAATTCTCCTCAACACTCCATGTGAGTGTGCTACCTTTCCTGTGCAGACTCTGATACAGTTGTTTAACCTCTTCTGTGTAAGCGTGTATAACAGTAACAAGAATATTTCAATAGTAGTTGTGGGGATTAAATAAGTTAATCATGCAAGGAATTTAGAGCAGTCAGTGTCTGGCACATGGAGGCACTTAATAAGTAAGTTAACATAGAGAGGGACTTTTTTTTTTTTTTTCTGAGACAGAGTTTCACCCTGTCCTCTAGGCAGGAGTGCAATGGCGCGATCTCGGCTCACCTCCCGGGTGAGCAATTATTGTGCCTTAGCCTCCCCAGTAGCTGGGCCTACAGGTGTGCACCACCACATCCGGCTAATGTTTGTATTTTTAATAGAGACAGGGTTTCACCACGTTGGCCAGGCTGGTCTTGAACTCCAGACCTCAAGTGATTCTCCTGCCGCATCCTCCCAAAGTGCTGGAATTACAGGCGTGAGGCATTGCGTCTGGCCTGTAAACCGTTATATTATCAACCACATCTCATATTCAAACAACCCTTTTCAGAGTGAAGAACCAATGCACTGCTGGAAGCACTAGGGAGCCATGAAAGTTCCTAGAGGGGGGCCTTGCAGAAGTGACATAGTCCAGGCTGGCTTTTTTATTTTTATTTTTTTGAGACAGGGTCTTGTGCTGTCATCCAGGCTGGAGTGCAGTGGCACAATCATGGCTCACTACAGCCTTGACCTCCCAGGCTCAGGTGATCCTTTCACCACAGCTTCCTGAGTAGTGGGGACTACAGGCACATGCCACCACACCCGGTTAACTTTTTAATTTTTTTTTTTTTTTTTTTTGTAGAGACGGCATCTCACTATGTTGCCCAGGCTGGTCTCGAACTCCTGGGCTCAAGTGATCCTCCTGCCTTGGCTTCCCAAAGTGCTGGGATTACAGGCGGGAACCACTGTACCTGGTCCCGGCTTTTAAAAAGGGTATTGTGGTTGCCATTGTGCAGAATGAATAGTTGAGGAGAGACTGGAGGAGGGACACTGTGGGAGGCTGCTTTTGTTTGTTTGTTTAGATGGAGTTTTGCTCTTTGTCACCCAGGCTCGAGTGCAGCAGCAGGCTCACGCCGCCTCCTGGGTTCAAGTGATTCTCCTGTCTCAGCCTCCAGAGTAGCTGGGATTACAGGCATGTGCCACCACGCCTGGCTAATTTTCGCATTTTTAGTAGAGATGGGGTTTCACCATGTTGGCCAGGCTGGTCTCAAACTCCTGACCTCAGGTGATCCGCCCACCTTGGCCTCCCAAAGTGCTGGGATCACAGGCATGAGCCACCGGGCCCAGCCGTTTGGTTTGTTTTTGTACACCATTTATGGTCAGCCCACTGAGTGTCAGCTAAGGGCCTAATTTCGTTTAATCCTCATGGCAGTCCCGTGAGATGTAACTATTCCCACTTTCTGGATGAGGAAACTGAGGCTCCACGTGGTGATGTCACCTGCCCGAGGTCTCACAGCTACTGGGTGGCAGACCTGGGACTTGAACCCAGGTCAGTCTGATTCTAGTGTCTGCACTTTGAACTCTGCACTAGTAATCCAAGGCCAAGACCTGTTCTAGTTTGGGGAGGGGGTCCCATGGGAGCAGAGAAGCTTCCTGCAGATACCAGCCACATGCCATTTCTCCCCTTACGCTGCTTAGTTTTCCTTCTTTGCACTTACTGCTTTTTTTTTTTTTTTTTTTTTTGAGGGAGTTTCGCTCTTGTTGCCTAGGCTGGAGTGCAGTGGCACGATCTCAGCTCACCGCAATCTTCTCCTCCCGGGTTCAAATGATTCTCCTGCCTCAGCCTCCTGAGTAGCTGGGATTACAGGCATGTGCTACCATGCCCAGCTAATTTTGTATTTTTAGTAGAGATGGGGTATCTCCATGTTGGTCAGGCTGGTCTCAAACTCCCGACCTCAGGTGATCGACCTGCCTCGGCCTCCCAAAGTGCTGGGATTACAGGCATGAGCAACCACGCCCAGCTGACTTACTGCCATCTTACATATATTGGCAGAGGTTTTTTTTTTTTTTTTTTTTTTTGACAAGGTCTCACTCTGTAGCTCAGGCTGGAGTGCAGTGGCGCGATCTCGGTTCACTGCAGAGGTTTTTAATACCCATTAGTGAAACTAGAAGATTAGGCTTCAGTCTCAGCTGGCCCACTGACTTTTTGTACGACCCTCAACCAGCCCCTGCCCCTGTCTGGTTTCCTATCTATAAAACAGGAGGTTTAAGCAGGCTAGGTAATGAAGGCCAGAGAATCCCATTAATCCCCCAACACACCAGGCTGAGGGGAAACAGCAGAAAGTTTTCGGGTTCTGGGCTGGGGGACCTTTTGGGAGGTCTCACTCCCAGCAGCTCCACTCCCTCGTCCTCGTCCTCTGAGCTCTGGGCCAGGGTCCTGGAGGAAAACAGGCAAGAATCTCAGGACACAGCAAACCTGGGCAAGTGTGGGTAACAGTGTAAGCAGGTGATGAGCATTCGTTCACTCCTCTGAGTACCTATTTATTCCTTTACTCACACACCCACCAGTCCATCCATCCATTCATCCACCAATCCACCTTCTCATTTATCCAATGATCCATCACCCACCCACTCACCCAAACAACCTCTATCCATTTATCCTTCCATTCATCCACCTATTTATCCACCTAGTTGTCCTCCATCTATCTATCCATCCTTCCACCCAGCCATCTACCATCCACCCATCTATCCATCCATCCGCCATCCATCCACCATCTGTCTGCCAGCTATCCACTATCCATCCATCCATCCATTGATCCATCCATCCATCTATCCATCCATCCATTGATCCATCCATCCATCCACTAATCCATTGATTCATCCATCCATCCATCCGCCATCCATCTGCCATCATCCATCCATCCATCCATCCACCCACCATCCATCCATTCATCCATCCATCCACCATCCATTAATTCATTGATTAATCCATCCATCCATCCCCCATCCATCCATCCATCCATCCATCTGCCATCCATCCACCATCTGTCTGCTAGCCATCCACCATCCATCCATCCATCCACCCACCCACCCATCCATCCATCCATTGATCCATCCATCCATCCATCCATCCTCCATCCATCTGCCTTCCAACATCCATCCATCCATCCATCCATCCATCCATCCATCCATCCATCCATCCTCCATCCATCTGCCATCCACCATCCATCCACCCATCCATCCATCTATTAATCCATTGATTCATCCATCCATCCATCCGCCATCCATCTGCCATCATCCATCCATCCATCCATCCATCCATCCATCCATCCATCCACCTGCAGTCCATCCACCATCTGTCTGCCCACCATCCACCATCTATCCATCCATCCATCCATCCATCCATCCATCCATCCATCCATCCACCATCCATCCACCATCCATCTGCCATCCATCTACCATCCATGCATCCATCCATCCAGCCATCCATTAATCCATTGATTAATCCATCCGTCTGCCATCCATCTGCCATCCATCCACCATCCATTAATCCATTGATTAGTCCATCCATCCATCCATCCACCATCCATCCACCATCCATCTGCCATCTGTCTACCATCCATGCATCCATCCATCTGTCCACCATCCATCCACCACCCATCTGCCATCCACCCACCAACCATCCATCCATCCATCCACCCACCCATCCATCTGCCATCCATCCACCATCCATAATCCATTGATTAATCCATCCATCCATCCGCCATCCATCCACCATCCATCTGCCATCCATCCATCCACCATCCATCTGCCATCCATCCATCCGCCATCCATCTGCCATCCATCTACCATCCATGCATCCATCCATCCATCCATCCATTAATCCACTGACTCATCCATCCGCCATCCATCCACCATCCATCTGCCATCCATCCACAATCTATCCATCCATCCGCCATCCATCCATCCATCCGCCATCCATCCATCCGCCATCCATCCATCCATCCATCCATCCGCCATCCATCCGCCATCCATCCACCATCCATGCATCCATCCATTAATCCATTCATTAATCCATCCATCCATCCGCCGTCCATCCACCATCCATCTGCCATCCATCCACCATCCATCCATCCATCCATCCATCCATCCATCCATCCATCCATCCTTCCAGCCACCCATCAATCCATTGACCCATCCATCCATCCTTCTGTCTACCCGGACATCTATCTATCATCCATCCATCCATCCATCCACACTTACACACATACATACATACACCCTTTCACCTACACATCCATCCATCTGTCCTTCCATCGACCCATCCATCCATCCATTGAAGTGCCAACTATATTCATTAATAATTCCCTCCCTCCCTCATTTAATAAGTCTTTATCAGGCACCCACTTTATAGCCAGTACCAAGCTGGGAGCCTTGGAAGATACCAAGACGTATCCATAAGGATAAGACCACTCTGGATTCGAAATGAGCACATGCTTGCAATTTAGTTCTAGACAGTTTCTTTTCCTTTTTCCTTTCCTTCCTTCCCTCCCTCCCTCCCTTCCTTCCTTCCACCCTTCCTTCCTCTTTCTCCACTCTCTCTCTTTCTTTCATCTTTTTTTTTTTTTTCCTTGACAGTGTCTCACTGTTGCCCAGGCTGGAGTGCAGTGGCACAATCACAGCGCACTGCAACCTCGATCTCCTGGGCTCAAGAGATCCTCCCACCTCAGCCTCCCAAGTAGCTGGGACTACAGGTATGCACTACCACACCCAGCTTAATAGTTTCTCTGACACTGCAGCAATGTCTTCTAAACTCTGACAAAAATTGTCACTAGATCAGATATAACTTTGTTCCAAAGGAGACAGCCCTGGTTGACAGGTGAGAGCTCTGGTTGACAGGATTTGGATAAATGGTGAGAGCAGTGGAGGGCACTCCAGAAGGGGTGTACGGCCTAGGCAAAGGCATAGAGATTGGCACAAACTTGGCAGGTGCTGGGCCCACTGAGGGCCTGGCTGGAGCAGAGATTAGGGTTAGAGAAATGGTGAGGGATGAGGCTGAAGCAGGAGGCAGGGGCAAGACGGGGTGAGGGGATGCTCCCTTGATGTCCCCCCTTTACTGTGGCTCACCTCTTCCGAGCCCCAGCCATGGAAGAGGATGCTGAGGGGTTCCCTCTGGAAGGGTTGGAGCAGCTCAGCCGGGGGTCACTACCCCAGCGGGGCAGCAGAGAGGGCTCAAGGGCTGGAGGTGACAGGCCATGGAAGCTCTGAGCGCGGGGCCGGGGGACAGCCCCCAGAGGTCTGTGGTAGGCCCTGGGTAGCTGCTCGCTGGCGTTGAGCTGGAAGTCATCATCCATGGAGATGTAGGGGGCCAGCATCTCCAAATCCAGAGCATCGGCATCCTGCGGAGGGCAGGAGGGAGGTAAGAGCATAAGCCTTGGACTTGGGTGGACCTTGGCTGGCGTCCCAGCACCACCACTTCTGAGTTCTGTGACTGTGGCCAACAGTCTGAGCTTCAGTTTCCTCATCTGTAAAATGGGTATAAGGACTCCCTGAAGAACATGTTAGAGAAATCCTAAATTGGGTCAGAAGCATGGGAGCTCACACCTGTAATCCCAGAGCTTTTAGGAGGCTGAGTTGGGAGCATCAGTTGAGGCTAGAAATTAAGAGAACAGTCTGGGTAACATAGCGAGACCCCCACCTACACAAAAAAGAAAAAAATTAGCCAGGTGTGGTTGCCCATGCCTGCAGTTCTAATTACTCAGGAGGCTGAGGTGGGAGGATTGTGTCAGCCCAGGAGTTTGAGGTTGCAGTGAGTCATGATCACACCATTGAAGTCCAGCCTGAGTGTCACAGTGAAACACTGTCTCAAAAAAGAAAAGAAAAAAAAGAAAAGAAAAGAAAAAAAAAGAAATCCTAAATACCTCAGAGAAACTACTGGTCAAAATCTGAACATTGCGGCCGGGCGTGGTGGCTCATGCTTGTAATCCCAGCACTTTGGGAGGCCGAGGCGGGTGGATCATGAGGTCAGGAGATCGAGACCACGGTGAAACCCCATCTCTACTAAAAATACAAACCGGGCGCGGTGGCGGGCGCCTGTAGTCCCAGCCACTCGGGAGGCTGAGGCAGGAGAATGGCGTGAACCCGGGAGGCGGAGCTTGCAGTGAGCCGAGGTCGAGATCACACCACTGCACTCCAGCCTGAGCGACTGAGCGAGACTCTGTCTCAAAAAAAAAAAAAATTCTGAACATTGAGAAGACTCAGTGAGGGCTTAGAGAGAAGTGGGAAACATACTGGAAACCAGAGGAAAGGGAATTTTTGTCCTGTAGTGGCTGAAAGTTTAGCAACACTGCTGCTTGCAGTTACGTAGAAAGTAGAAAATACAACAAATACACTAGGTGGTCCAGCTAAGACTCCCAGCCAGAGTGTTGAAGGGGCTGCCTGATTTCTTCTTGTTACTTACAGTAAAAGGTAAGAGGAGAGAGAGATAAAAAATATTTCTCCTAAAGGAAGAGATGTTAAACATGAAGGAGATAGGACTTGAAGGTTTTGAATATTCTCAACCTCCTTGTGCAGTGAATAATTAACTGTACCCAAAGAGAGGTCTGGCTTTTGTCCCAGCTCCTGGAAGGTAACCTCTAAACCTCTGGAATTTTCTGAGTGATAGGAGTGTCTTTGCTATTCACTGTGGGTCTTTTGGATAATCTGTGCTAACCAGGTGACTCATGGTGAGCCCCTAGAAAGTTTATGCTAATGAGATAACTCAGGATGGAGGCTGGCCATGCAGAAAAAAACAACCACTGTGATTAGAGGGTTGGGGCTTTGGTCCACACAAAATCAGCTGGATCCAGGGAAGGTAGGCGTGGCATTGGAGACTGAATTCAATTACATGGGCAGTAATTTGTGCAATCATGCCTATGCAATAAAACCCCAATAAAAACTCTCAACATTGATGCTTTGGTGAGTTTCCTGAGTTGGCATTACTCTGCACATATTGCTACATATCAATGCTGGGAGGATAACATGTCCCTGAGGACAAGAAAACTTTCCATTTGGGACCCTCCAGTCCCAGATTCCACCTATGAATATCTTCCTTTGTCTGTTTCTGATTTGTATTCTTTTGTTATGATAAAACCACCATCCTAAGTATAGCAGTTTCTGAGTACTATGAACACTTCTAGCAAATTATCAAACCTGAGGGAGTCTACAGGAGTCTGGGAATCTCCACATTGGTAGGCAGCTGGTCTAAAGTGAGGGTGGCCCTGGGGGCCCTCAAAATTGTGGCTGATGTCAGAAGTCTTGGGCAGACTCCGCAGTCTGGAGAACCATGCCATTAACCTTGAGTTTGGCTGACTGGAGGAGCCCTCCAGATGGGAAATGATGCTAACATTAAGGACTGGTCTCTAGGCCAGGTGCGGTGGCTCACGCCTGTAATCCCAGCACTTTGGGAGGCCGAGGCGGGCAGATCACGAGGTCAGGAGATCGAGACCATCCTGGCTAACATGGTGAAACCCCATCTCTACTAAAAATACAAAAAATTAGCCAGACATGGTGGTGGGCGCCTGTAGTCCCAGCTACTCGGGAGGCTGAGGCAGGAGAATGGCGTGAACCCGGGAGGCGGAGCTTGCAGTGAGCTGAGATCCGGCCACTGCACTCCAGCCTGGGTGACAGAGCGAGATTCTGTCTCAAAAAAAAAAAAAAAAAAAAGAAGTGGTCTCTGAGCCAGCCTGGTGAAACCTCATCTCTACTAAAAATATGAAAATTAGCCGGGCACGGTGGTGGGCACCTGTAGTCCCAGCTACTCGGGAGGCTGAGGCCAGACGGTCACTTGAAGCTGGGAGGTGGAAGTTGCAGTGAGCCAAGATTAAGCCACTGTATTCCGCCTTGGGTGACAGAGTGAGACTCCGTTTCAAAAAAAAAAAAAAAAAAAAGAAAAAAAGGTGGTCTCTGAGCAATGAAGAGTACCCTCGGGCCAGGCACAGTGGCTCACACCTCTAATCCCAGCACTTTAGGAGGCCAGGGTGAAAGGATCACTTGAGCCCAGGAGTTCAAGATGAGCCTGGGCAATATAGTGAGACCCTGTCTCTATTTTTATAATTGTTTTATTTATTTATTTATTTATTTTTTTTTTTGAGACAAGAGTCTTGCTCTATCATCAGGCTGGAGTGCAGTGGCACAATCTCAGCTCACTGCAACCTCTGCCTCCCTGGTTCAAGTGATCCTCCTGCCTCAGCCTCCCGAGTAGCTGGGATTATAGGCATGTGCCAGCACGCCCAGCTAATTTTATTTTTATTTTTGGTAGAGACAGGGTTTCACCATGTTGGCCAGGATGGTCTTGATCTCCTGACCTCGTGAACTGCCTGCCTCAACCTCCCAAAGTCCTGGGATTATAGGTGTGAGCCACCGTGCCTGGCCCCCAATTTTTTTTTTAAGTCCTAATGAAAGAACTTCTGATATTTGCCCATATGGATTTCAAAACTGCTATGGACCAGGGATATATGCATGCTCCTCTTCCCCGTCCTTTTTGAATAATAGTGTCTATTCCTGTCTCACCACTATATATTGAGTATGTGGGTGACAGATGACTCATCTCCATTAGTCCACAAGCCAAAATGTTGAGAGGAACTGTACTCAAGGAGTTTCCCCAGCACCCAGACCAGATTCAGATGATCAGATTCTGGACTTCAAGCTGATGCTGTAATGGGAAGAAACTTTGGGAGACTTTGGGGGGCCTTGAGAGGTGAGTGAGTGTATTTTGCATGAGAGAGAGACATCAATCATTGGAAGTTCCCAATGATCCCTGCCTCTTGATGTTCACACTCTTGTGTTGTTGCCTCCCACAGTGTACAGGATTGATCTATATGACCAGAACAATATGGCAGAAGCGATGGTTTGTCACTTCTGAGATTAGGCTATGAAAGACTGTGTCTTCAGTCTGGGACTTGTTCTTTCTGTCTCTCTGCTTCCCCATTTGTCTCTTTCTCTCTTTGTTGGATTGCTTGCCTTAGGGAAGCCAACTGCCATGTTGTGAGGACACTTAGGGAGTCTATGTAGAGGTTCATGTGATGAGGAACTGAGGCCTCCAGCCGAAGCAAAGTGAGGGACTGAGGCCTGCCAGCCACCTCGTGTGTGTGAGCTTGGAAGAAAACCTTCTAACCCCAGATGACTATAGCCCTGACTGAGAGTTTGACTTCAACCTCATGAGAGACTCTGAGCAAAAACCAGCAGCTAAGTTGCTCCTGAATTTCTGATACCCAGTCACCATGTGACATAATAAATAGTTGTTGTTTTAAGGTGTTAAGTTTTTAGACAATTTGTTACACAGCAGTAATAACTAATACATCATGCTGCTGTCATTTTATCTATGCACTCAGTAAATCATCCATCCAAATATCACCCATCCATTTTTCATCCAGCTATCAAAATATCCACCCAAACATTCATCCACCCACCCACTCATCCACCCATCAATCCATCCATTAGAATATCTGCCTAAACCTCATCCATTCATCCACCATCATCCACCTAATGAATACAATGGTCCATCCATCCATCCATCCATCCATCCATCCATCCATCCATCCAACCACTCATTCCTTTAGCCATCCCACTAACTTTCTCTAAAGCCACATATGTGAATCCCCAGAATGCAGGGCTAAGGATTACTCCTTTCATGCCAGCCCTTACCTGAGCTATATCTAAATCTGTCTCCACTGCCTCAGTGTCTTTCCCGGAGGTGAAGAGTCTGTGCACATTCTCTGTTCCCACAGGTAGTTCATCTGGGAGATCAGCCTGTGGAGAGATGGAGTATAGACTTCAGGAAATCTTGAGCCTGGGAGGTGTCAACAGTAAGACAGTCTGCAGCTCAAAGGTAGAAGTGGGGATCAAATGCCCGGCATCTGGGGACAAAGGGGGTCCAATGGCAAATGCAATGAGTTTTGAGCCTGGGTATTCAAAAGTCAGAATGCCTGAGTGTATGTAGATCGACAGAGCAAACATGAAAGTTCCAGTTAGAAGGATCAGAGCCTGGCCAGGCTCAGTGGCTCATACCTGTAATCCCAGGACTTTGGGAGGCCAAGGTGGGTGGCACTTGAGATCAGGAGTTCAAGACCGGCTTGGCCAACATAGTGAAACCCCGTCTCTACTAAAAGTACAAAAATTAGCTGGGCTTAGTGGCACACATCTGTGGTCCTAGCTACTAGGGAGGCTGAGGCAGGAGAATGGCTTGAGCCTGGGAAGCGGAGGCTGCACTGAGCTATGACTGTGCCACCACACTCCAGCCTGGGTGACACAGTGAGACTCTGTCGCAAAACAAAAAAAAAATCCGAAAGACTTTTTTTTTTTTTTTTTTTTGAGAGGGAGTCTTACTCTGTCACCCAGGTTGGAGTGCAATGGTGTGGTCTCGGCTCACTGCAACCTCCACCTCCCGGATTCAAGGGATTCTCCTGCCTTAGCCTCCTAAGTAGCTGGGATTACAGGCGTCCGCCACCACACATGGCTAATTTTTGTGTTTTTAGTAGAGACAGGGTTTCACCATGTCAATCAGGCTGGTTTTGAACTCCTGACCTCAGATGATCTCCCCACCTTGGCCTCCCTAAGTACTGAGATTACAGGTGTGAGCCACCGTACCCAGCCTGAGGCCAAGATTTTCAAACAAATCCTCTGGTGTTAAAGGTCTTGGAGCCTGGAGTTTGGGGTGGAAACAATGGCGAATTCAGCTGTCTCAGGAGTAAAGGATGAGGTCAAAGGTCACAGTCTGTATTTCTCTGGAGAGAAGATATTTTCTTGGGGTGGTGAGTGGGGATAGTCAACACTGGATAATATAGACTCACTGAGGTCAAAGGTCAGACTATCTTCACAACAAATAGTGATAGTAACAGGTATGATCTGTTGAGCACCAATAGGTGCCAGGCCCCTACTGAGTGCTTCTCATGAATACTCTCTCATTTAATGCTCAGAATAACCAATGATGTGGTGACATGTTATTATCTTTCTTTTATAGGTGAAGAAATTAAGGCCTCAAGAACTTGCCTGCCCAGCCAGGGTAATGCCACTGATAAATGGCAGATTTAGGATTGAATCCAGGTCTGTATAAATCAGGACATTAGACATTTTGACTCTTTGAGGTCAAAGTTCAGAGAACTGGATGCTTAGTCACAAGCTGCAGTGGGAGGAGGGTCATCTGTGCCAGTTCCAAACAACCCAGGTTAGGGGCCTGATATGGTTTGGCTGCGTCTCCACCCAAATCTCATCTTGAACTGTAGCTCCCGTAATTGCCACACACTGTGGGAGGGACCTGGTCGGCGATAATTGAATCATGGGGGCGGTCTCCCCCATACTGTCCTCGTGATAGTGAATAAGTCTCATGAGATCTGATGGTTTTGTAAGGGGAAACCCCTTTCACTTGGTTTCATTCTCTCTTGCCTGCCACCATGTAAGACGTACCTTTCACCTTCCACCATGATTGTGAGGCCTCCCCAGTCATGTGGAACTGTGAGTCCATTAAACTTTTTTTTGTTTATAAATTACTCAGTCTTGGGTATGTCTTCAGCAGCAGCATGAAGATGGACTAATACAGGGCCTATGGTGTTATTTTATTTATATACATATACACACAGACACACACACACATAAATATATAAAAATATATTTACATTCATGTATATTTACATATATGCAAACACATCCACACCTGCAAACTTATTTACATATATGCAAATATGTATAAATAGAAATACACTTATATACAGATATTTGCATATGTAAATAAATATATATGCATATATAAATAAGTATATTTGCATATATAAATATGTTTATATATTTATTTTTAATATAAAATATATATTTTTATATAGACATGATTTTGCACACGGTTCCTGGGTCAAACTCCCATGGCCCTTGTCTTTTGTTAGAACAGTCTTTTATTAGAACAGTCTAATAAAACAGTTCGAACAGTCTTTTTGTTAGAACATTGGGTGTGTTAGGCCTCATAAAACAACCTCTCCAGCCTTCTTCTGCCCTCCTTTCACCTGCCCCAAGGCAGGTCTTTAATCTTCCCCCACCTTTCTGATTGCGAGTCATAAAACTGTACCCAGAGAGGGTCCTGCCCAATATCCTGGGAGAAAGAATGCTGACATCATGAAGCTTCCATAAAAACCCAAGAGGACTCGGTTTGAGGGGCTTCCAGATAGCTGACCCATGGAGGTTTCTGGAGGGTGATGCCCAGGGACAGTATGGAAGCTCTGAGACCCTGCATTCCCCCATACCTCACTTGATGTATCCCTTCATCTGTATCCCGTGCAATATCCTTGACAATGAACCAGTAAACCTAAATAAGTATTATCCTGATTACTGTGAGCTGTTCCAGTGAATTAAACCCAAAGAGCCAGGTGCGGTGGCTCACACCTGTAATCCCAGCACTTTGGGAGGCCAAGGTCGGAAGATCACTTGAGGTCAGGAGTTCAAGACCAGCCTGGCCAACATGGTGAAACTCTGTCTCTACTAAAAATACAAAAAATTAACCGGGCGTGGTGGCAGACACCTGTAATCTCAGCTACTTGGGAGGCTGAGGCAAGAGAACTGCTTGAACCTCGGAGGTGGAGGTCGCAGCGAGCCGAGATTGCCCCACTGCACTCCAGCCTGGGGGACAGAGTAAAACTCCATCTCAAAAATAAAAATAAAAAAAGAAATTCTGGAGGCCCGGACTTGTGACTGTGACTGAAGAGCAGGGAGCAGTCTTGGGAACTGAGGGCCAACCTGTGAGATCTGACACTACCTCCAGGTAGACGGTGCCAGAATTGAATTGGAGGACACCCAGCTGGTGTTCGCTGCTTGGTGTGTGGGAAAAACTGCCCACATTTGGTCACAGAAGTCTTCTTCTGTGTTGACGATCGTTGCATTATCAGGAGAGCAGAGGAAAAACATAGCTTGAGAGAGTTTTTCCCTAACAGAGCCAGACTCTGGAATCCTAACAATTGAAGAATCTGGATCTGCGTCTTAAAGGAACCTCAACCCCATCTCAACCCAACCTCCCCACTACACAGATGGAGAAGCTGAGGCCCAGAGAACAGTCAGGTTTAAGTCACAGGCCAAGACCACCTGAGGGACGGACGGAGCCTTGGATGCTGAGGGCTCATGTGGGGGGGATGGCTTACCGAAAGAGGACTTCGGGGATGCCGTGTGGCCAGCGGGGTGCTGGGAGTGGCGGCTACTGAAGCCCCATCCAGGATGGGTCCCAGGAGGCGACGGAGGTCAGGGCTGCAGAAACGGCGGGGGTCAGCGGCCAGGGCAGCCTCGCTCAGGGAAGGCGGGTGCAGGAAGGCGAGGATCCGGGGGCCAGGGGCGTCTGCAGGACACATGGAGATGGGGAGGACACAGGCTGGTGACCAAAGGCCAAGGACCAGAGCCCTCCACACCAACCCCAGGAACACAGTCGACATCAGCAAGTCAGGATGGCCACTGTTCTTAGTGTGGGAGTCAGGAAGGGGCCTGGAGGACCCCTGCTCGGCCAGGTGTAAACTTTATTTTTATTTTTGAGATGGAATCTTGCTCTGTTGCCCAGGCTGGAGTGCAGTGGCATAATCTCAGTTCACTGCAGCCTCCGCCTCCTGGGTTCAAGTGATTCTGTGCCTCAGTCTCTGGAGTAGCTGGGATTACAGGTGCCTGCCATCATGCCCAGCTAAGTTTTGTATTTTTTGTAGAGACAGGGTTTTACCATGTTGGCCAGGCTGATCTCAGACTCCTGACCTCAAGTGATCCGCCCACCTCGGCCTCCCAAAGTGCTGGGATTGCAGGCATAAACCACTGCACCCAGCCCGGGTGTGAACTTTAGTGGCCAGATTGTGGTGAGGCTCCGAAAACTCCGAGGGGAGGGGATTGGTGGCTCAGATCAGCATTTGGCCATTCCATTCAGCTCTGGGGAGCTTGCACCTTAGGAGAAAAGACTGGCCCCAAGTCCTCAAGGAGGCTGTAAGATCCCCAGAGGTTAAGACAAGTCCCAGAGCCAGCTCTGAGCCAGAAAAGGAAAGGATATTATATCAGCAATCCCACCCCACACCCAGGAGCATGGGTGGCCAGCAACAGCTGGGAGAAGGTGAGGTCTTGAAGGACAAACCGGGAGGGAGGCTCATCCACGATGGCAGGAGAGTGAAGGAAGAGGGAGAAAGGAGCCAGACTTAGGAGGATCGAGATTACTGGAAGCCAAAGAGCGGCAAAGCCAGAATAGGGAAGAGGCAGAAGCATGGGGACAATGTGGAGCCACAGCAGGATTTAGAGCAGAGGCCAGCAAGAGACTGAAGCAACCATGCCATAGCCACAGGAGGGGAGGGAGGACAGGAGAGAGAAGAGCATTCTGGGAAACTGCACGTGCAAAGGCCCTGAGGCACGAGGCTGGAGTGTTCCAAGGGCTCTTAGGAGGCTGTGTGGTTTGGAGGCGGAGTGCGCAGGGAAGGGAGTCAAGAGGCAGGTCCCACAGGGCCTGGTGAGCCATGTTAAGGTGCTTGGGCTTTCTCCCAAGGGCCCTGGGGACACAACCCCTCCCAGCCCCAGCCCTGCCCCATACCAAGGCTGTTCCCAGGGTTAGGGGTGTCCTTCTGAGAGGGGGCGCCCCGCTGAATGGGTCTGCGAGAGTGTTGCTCCGTTTGCTCCAGGGACAGCACCACTCCGGTCTCTTCCACCCGGCTGGGGTACAAGACAGAAAGGGAGGTGGGAGTCAGGGAGGGTCCTTGGCTCCAGCCCAGGTAGCCTGTTCAGGTGATGTCCTATTACAGAAGGCAATGGCGCCCAGGGGCTTGGAGGGCGTTTCATAGAAAATAATTACCCACATTTATTTGTCTCCTATAAGGGTTTGATTTTTGTTGACTGCTTTTTATTCTGACAGCGATTTTTTTTTCTTTTTCTTTTTCTTTTTTTAAGACAAGGTCTCACTCTGTTGCCCAGGCTGGAGTGCAGTGGCACGATCTTGGCTCACTGCAACCTCTGCCTCCCATGTTCAAGCGATTCTCCCACCTCAGCCTTCCGAGTAGCTGGGATTGTAGGTGGACGCCCCTATACCTGGCTAATTTTTGTATTTTTAGTAGAGACGGGGTTTCACCATGTTGGCCAGGCTGGTCTTGAACTCCTGACCTCAGGTGATCCACCTGCCTCGGCCTCCCAAAGTGCTAGGATTATAGGCATGAGCCACTGCGCCCAGCCTATTCTGACAACATTTTAAAAAGAAAGTTAAGTTTGTCCCTTCCCAAGCTCCTTCTGTAAAAGGAAAGGCAGAAAAAAGAGCTGGCATTTAGCACAGCCTGGGCAGAGAGGAGGAAGACTGAGGGAAGCGGGTAGGGCGGCACCGAAAGACAGAAGTGGGAAGAGGCCTAGGAACAGACAGGGGACGCCCAGGGGCAAAGAGAGGGGTGAGCAAAAGGCTTCAGAATACCTAAATATTCTCTTTATAGATTTTAACTTATAAACATATTCTTAGAAAGCTATTGATGAAAAAATATATTTTTAATATAGTCTTCGTTACATTACCAAATAGGAAGAATTCACAGGGCTGTAATTTTTATGAATAAGATTTTATTTATGCTGTTTCTATTCATAGATATTTTTCATATTCAAGGGAACAGGTTTATAAATACTTCCTTATGTCCCTGCCACCTCCCTTCACACAGTCTGTGGCTTCAGAGACAATCTAAATGCTCGCTGGGCAAGTTGGCTTTTGGAGAGTTGGGTGGGGCTGAGGATCAGGCCCTCATTTGCATCTCATCTGCATAACCCGCTTCAGGACAGGATGTAGGTGGGCCTGGTTTTCCCACCAGCTCCTTGAGAAGCTATGACCTCTCCCTATCCTCATTAAACCCTCCCTGGGCTGGAAACATCCCAATTTAGGCTGGATCAAGGCCACCCTTATTCCCCTGAAAGACACAAGCACACACAATCGAACTCGTACACACACTCGGTGCACACAGGCACAAATGGGAGCGCTCGCATACACCTGAGTGCATACAAGGGCAGATATGCTCACACGCTCCATACACTTGGGCTCGAATATGTGCACATGTGACACATTCAGTTCACTTATTCATCATTCCACAAACATCTCCTCGTCAAGCACTACTGTGCAGTGGTTCATAGCAAGGACTCTGTAGTCAGTGGCCTGGGTTCAAATCCCAGCTCTGCTACTTACGCAGTGGTGTGATCTTGAATATTAAAATAAAATATATTATTAAAATTAGGCCGGGCACGGTGGCTCACGCCTGTAATCCCAGAACTTTGGGAGGCTGAGGCGGGTGGATCACTTGAGGTCAGGAGTTTAAGATCAGCCTGGCCCACATGGTGAAACCCTATCTCTACTAAAAATACAAAAATTAGCTGGGCGTGGTGGCGGGTGCCTGTAATCCCAGCTACTCAGGAGGCTGAGGCAGGAGAATCACTGGAACCCCAGAGGTGGAGGTTGCAGTGAGTCGAGATCACACCACTACACTCCAGCCTGGATGACAGAGTGAGACTCCAAATAAATAAATAAATAAAATGAAATTAAAAAAAATAAAATTGGCTGGGCACAGTGCTCACACCTGTAATCCCAGCACTTTAGGAGGCCAAGGTGGGTGGATCACGAGGTCAGGAGCTCAAGACCATCCTGGCTAACATGGTGAAACCCCATCTCTACTAAAAATACAAAAAAAAAAAAATTAGCTGGGCATGGTGGTGCGCATCTGTAGTCCCAGCTACTCAGGAGGCTGAGGCAGGAGAATGTCGTGAACCCAGGAGGTGGAGCTTGCAGTGAGCCAAGATCGTGCCACTGCTCTCCAGCCTGGGCGACAGAGCGAGACTCCGCCTCAAAATAAATAAATAAATACATAAAATGAATTAATTTCACCTGCTTCTGTTTACTTTTTTTTTTTGAGACAGGATCTCAGTCTGTCACTCAGGCTGGAGCAGTGGTGCAATCTCAGCTCACTGCAGCCTCAATTTCCCAGGCTCAGGTGATCCTCCTGCCTCAGCTTCCTGAGTAGCTGGGACTACAGGCACATGCCACCATGCTGGGCTAATTTTTAAATTATTTGTAGAGATGGGGTCTCCCTATATTGCCAAGGCTAGTCTCAAACTCCTGGCCTTGGCCTCCCAAAGTGTTGGGATTACAGGTGTGAGTTATCACACCCAGCATTCTGTTTACCTTTTAAGGTGGCTACTAGAAAATTCAAAATGACATATGTGGCTGGCATCATGCTTTTATTGGACAGCATTGGGTTAGATAGTAGTAATACTAGGGAGGGCCGGGTACAGTGGCTCACGCCCATAATCCCAGCACTTTGGGAGGCTGAGGTGGGTGGATGACTTGAGCTCAGGAGTTTGAGAGCAGCCTGGCCAACGTGGTGAAACCCCATCTCTACCAAAAACACAAAAATTTGCCGGGTGTGGTGGCGGGTGCTTGTAATCCTTACTTGGAAGGTTGAGACAGGAGAATCACTTGAACCCGGGAGGCAAAGGCTGCAGTGAGCTGACGTTGTGCCACTGCACTCCAGCCGGGGCAACAGAACGAGACTCTGTCTCAAAGAAAGATAGTGGTAAGTACTACGGAGAAAATAAAGCAGTGATGGGACTTGGCAATTTAGAAAAGGGCAATCAAAGAAGGTCTGGCTGAATACACAAGTTAATAAGATAATTACAAATGGTTTTAAGTGCTTTGGTGCAAAAGTACAAGATACCAGGAGAGAAAATGGGGGTGGGGGGCACCTGAGCTCATGTAGGGGCTCAGGAAAGAGGGTCTCCAGAAGTGATGTCTGAGCTGAGACTGGAAGGATGAGCAGGCATGACTCAGGAGAAAAAGGAGGAGGGAGGAGAGGAGAGCATTCTGGGCTGGAGGAACAGCCTGTGCAAAGGCCCTAAGGTTTGGAGGGTGAGTGAGAAGGGGAGGGAGGCAGGAGCTTCACAGGGCCTGGTGAGCCATGCTAATGCCCTTGGCCTTTCTCCTAAGGATGCTGGGGAGCCTCAGAAGGGCTCTGAGAAGGGCAGAGACAGGAGGCATAAGTTGATTCGGAGGCCTGGCATGGTGGTTTCGCATCTGTATTGCCGTGCTTTAGGAGGCTGAGGTGGGAGGATCACTTGAGCCCAGAAGTTTGAGACCAGCCTGAATAACATAGTGGGACCCCATCCCTATTTAAAAAAAAATTATAGGCTGGGTGCCAGGGCTCACACCTGTCATCCCAGCACTTTGGGAAGCTGAGGTGGGTGGGTTGCTTGAACTCAGGAGCTTAAGACCAGCCTGGGCAACATGATGAAACTCCATCTCTACAAAAAATACAAAAAAAATTAGTCGGGCATGGTAGTGCATGCCTATAGTCCCACCTACTTGGGAGGCTCAGTCATGCACTCCAGCCTGCATGACAAAGCAAGACTTTATCTCAAAAAAATTTATATACATATATATATATATGTTGATTTGTATTTCAGAACATTCCTCCACATCTAGAAAAACCCCTAAGGCTTTAGAAACTGATGCATGTCCTATAGGATAACCTTCAAAGAAAAGCTATAATTATTTTTTCTTTTCTTTCTTTTTTTTTTGAGATGGAGTCTCGCTCTGTTGCCCAGACTGGGGTGCAATGGTCTCATCTCCGCTCATTGCAACCTCCGCCTCCTGGGTTCAAGTGATTCTCCTGCCTCGGCCTCCCAAGTGGCTCAGATTACAGGCATGCACCACCAAGCCTGGGTAATTTTTGTATTTTTAGTAGAGATGGGGTTTCGCCATGTTGGTCAGGCTGGTCTTGAACTCCCGACCTCAAGTCATCTGCCCACCTCGGCCTCCCAAAGTGCTGGGATTATAGGCGTGAGCCACTCACTGCGCCCGACCAAAAAGCTGTAATTTTAACTCTGCCTCACAATGTTGTCATGGATACCTCTGCATTCCTAAATGGTGAAAAGCTTCTATGACACATGATGGAGAAAAAAAGCCCCATCGTGATTTTCCCACGACACATCTATTAGAATGACTAAAAGTAACACCAAACCCAAACACCCAGACAATATGAAATGCTGGCACAGATGTGGAGCAACTGGAACCCTCATACATTGCTGATGGGAATGCAAAATGATACAGTCACTTTGGAAAACAGTTTGGCTGTTTCTTCTTTTTCTTTTTTTGGAAATGGAGTCTCCCTCTGTTGCCCAGGCTGGAGTACAGTGGCGTGATCTCGGCTCACTGCAACCTCCGCCTCCCAGGTTCAAGTGATTCTCCTGCCTCAGCCTCCTGAGTAGTTGGCACTACAGGCATGTACCACCACGCCCAGCTAATTTTTGTATTTTTAGTAGAGATGGGGTTTCACCATGTTGACCAGGCTGGTCCTGAACTCCTGATCTCAGGTGATCCACCCACCTTGGCCTCCCAAAGTGCTGGGATTACAGGCACGAGCCATTACACTCTTCCCTGACTGTTTCTTTCTTTCTTTTATTTTTTGACACAGAATCTCACTCTGTCACCCAGGCTAGAGTGCAGTGGTCTGATCTCAGCTCACTGCAACTTCCGCCTCCTGGGTTAAAGTGATTCTCGTGTCTTGGCCTCCCAAGCAACTGGGGTTACAAGCATATGCCACCACACCTGGCTAATTTTTGTATTTTTAATGGAGACGGTGTTTTGCCATGTTGGCCAGGCTGGTCTCAAACTCATGGCCTCAACTGATCCACCCTCCTCAGCCTCCCAAAGTGCTGGGATTACAGGAGTGAGCCACCGCAGCCAGCCATGACAGTTTCTTAAATTAAATACACATTTACTGTATAACCCATCCATTCCAATCCTAGCTGTTTACCCAAGAGAAATGAAAACATGTGATCTCATAAAATCTTGTATGAGAATGTTTACAGTAGCTGGTTTTTTGTAATCACCCAAATTTGGAAACAGCCCAACATCTTCCAACTGGTGAAAGGATAAAAAAACTGTGCTCCATTCATACCATGGAATGCTATTCACTATTTACAAAGGAACTACTGATATAAACCACAACATGGGCCAGGCGCGGTGGCTCACGTCTGTAATCCCAGCACCTTGGGAGGCTGAGGCGAGTGGATCACCTGAGGTCAGGAGTTGGAGACCAGCCTGGCCAACCTGGTGAAACTCCTTCTCTATTAAAAATATAAAAATTAGCTAGGCGTGTTGGTGCATGCCTGTAATCCCAGCTACTTGGGAGGCTGAGGGAGGAGAATCACTCGAACCTAGGAGGCAGAGGCTACAGTGAGCCAAGATTGCACCAGTGCACTCCTGGGCAACAGAATGAGACTCTGTCTCAAAAAAAACAAAACAAAACAAGAAAGAAAAACCACAACAGGGAGGAAATTTAAATATATCATGCTAAGTATGAGCCAGGCCCAAACGGCTACATACTGTACGATTCCTCGTATGTGACCCTCTGGAAAAAGCAAAACTCTGGGTTCTGAGGACAGTGGTTGCCAGGGACATGGGAGTGTGGGAGGGGTTTACTACAAGAGAATATTTTTGTGTAAAAAATCATGGTAATGGCCGGATGTGGTGGCTCATGCCTATAATCCCAGCACTTTGGGAGGCTGAGGCGGGTGGATCACCTGAGGTCGGGAGTTCAAGACCAGCCTAGCCAACATGGTGAAACCCCGACTCTACTAAAAATACAAAAATTAGCTGGGCTTGATGGCGGGCACCTATAATCTCAGCTACTCAGGAGGCTGAAGCAGGAGAATTGCTTGAACCCAGGAGGTTGAGGTTGAAGTGAGCTGAGATCATGCCAGTGCACTCCAGCCTGAGTGACAAGGGCAAAACTCTGTCTCAAAAAAAGAAAAAAAAAAATCGTGGTAATTGTGTAACCACTATTACAATCACACTAATTGGTCAACAGCTGGATTGTGATAGTGGTTACACAATTGCATGCATGTGTCAAAATTCACAGAACTGTGTACCATAAAGAGAATTTACTGCATGAAAACCATATATCTTTTTGTGGTTTTTTTTTGTTTGTTTGTTTGTTTTCAGGGTTTTTTTTTTTTTTTTTTTTTTTTGAGATTGGGTCTTAACTACTTTGCCCAGGCTGGTCTTCACCTCTGGGGCTCTAGCAATCCTCCTTCCTTGGCTTCCCAAAGGGCTGGGATTACAGGTGTGAGTCACTGCACTCAGCCATGGCAGTTTCTTACATTAAATACACACTTACTGTATAACCCATTCATTCCAATCCTAGCTGTTTACCCAAGAGAAATGAAAACATGTGATCTCATAAAATCTTGTATGAGAATGTTTACAGTAGCTGGTTTTTTGTAATCACCCAAACTTGGAAACAGCCCGATGTCTTCCAACTGGTGAAAGGATAAAAAAACTGTGCTCCAGTCACACCGTGGAATGCTATTCACTATTTACAAAGGAACTACTGATATAAACCACAACATGGGCCAGGTGCGGTGGCTCACGCCTGTAATCCTAGCACTTTGGGAGGCTGAGGCGGGTGGATGACCTGAGGTCAGGAGTTCGAGACCAGCCTGACCAACCTGGTGAAACTCCTTCTCTATTAAAAATATAAAAACTAGCTGGGCGTGTTGTTGCATGCCTGTAATTCCAGCTACTTGGGAGGCTGAAGCAGGAGAATGGCTTGAACCCGGGAGGCAGAGGTTGAACTAAGCCAAGATCGTGCCAGTGCTCTCCAGCCTGAGTGACAAGAGTAAAACTCTGTCTCAAAAAAAAAAATTGTGGTAATTGTGTAACCACTATTACAATCACACTAATTGGTCAAAGCTGGATTGTGATAGTGGTTACACAATTGCATGCATGTGTCAAAAATTCATAGAACCGTGTACCATAAAGGGAATTTACCATATGCAAACCACATATATATCTTCTCGTGTGTGTGGGGTTTTTTTTTGGTTTGTTTTCAGGTTTTTTGGGTTTTTTTGAGAATGGGTCCTAACCACTTTGCCCAGGCTGGTCTTGAACCCTGAGGCTCTAGCAATCCTCCTCCCTTGGCCTCCCAAAGTTCTGGGATTACAGGAGTGAGCCACACATCAAATTTTAAAAGGCAAAAAAGACCCCATGATTCTGTTACATTTCTTATTTTAACTTGAATAGAGAGTCCTTCTGTTTGTTTGTTTGTTTGAGACAGAGTCTAACTCTGTTGCCGAGGTCAGAGTGCACTGACACAATCTAATCTCGGCTCACTGCAACCTCCACTTCCTGGGTTCAAACGATTCTCGTGCCTCAGCCTCCTGAGTAGTTGGGATTACAGGCATGTGTTACCACACCCGGCTAATTTTTGGTATTACTGGTAGAGACAGCATTTCGTCATGTTGCCCAGGCTGGTCTCGAACTCCTGAGCTCAGGCAATCCGCCCACCTCAGCCTCCCAAAGTGCTAGGATTACAGGTATGAGCCACCATGCCAGGCCAAACAAAGAGCCCTTTTTAATTTGAATTAACGGTTCACTTAAGCAGAAGTTCATGCAATAAATAAATAAATAAATAAAATAATAAAAATTAACAGTACACACCCATACACATACCTGTGTCCATGCAGACACACACACCGGCATTTACATGGTGACACACATTCCTCATATGTGTACATGTCCACACTCCCTCACATACACTTATGCGTGATACACGTGCGTGCTCATATGCACACACACACACATACACCTGTCCACACGTGCCGATCAGGCCCACACACAGCCACTCCAACCCCTCCTCCTGCTTACCTGATTAAAAAATGGACACAGACGATACTCTCCGACTGGGGGCCCCGTCCCCCTGACACCACTGTGGCCTGGGTCTGGGTCCACAGGTAGCCACCGTTCCGGGCCAGGAAGCGATACTGCCCTGTTACTGCCTGGCCCTTGCTCAGCACTGAGGAGGGGGATCGGGAGGGGTCAGAGCCACCAAGGGGGCAACTGAGGAGAGAAAGATCTGGGGGCTGGGTATGAGGGGGTAGGGAAGGAGACAGTTCCCTGGGGCTTGGGGAGCAGGGAGCTGGTGTTGAGGTAGGGAGGGAGGGCATCCTGGGGTGTGGAGAGCTGGGGGGTCCTGGTGCTGGCTGGGGGCCATGCGGCAGCTGGCTCCACGCCTGGGGAAATGGGATACATACAGGTGTGGATGCTCTTGCTGACCGCATCGGAGTCCAGCGCGTGGATGTACTCGTAGGCGGAACAGCCGATCAGGTCATCGGGACTGTAGCCGGCCACTTCTGCGATCCTGGGGGTGGGGCAGAGTGGGGTCTGGTCAGGATGCTACTGGCTGAGAGGGAGGGTAGGTAGAGGGAAGTGGCAGCAGAGGACACGGGAACAAAGCCAGTAAGATGTCAAGAGACAGGATCGTAACCCAGAGAAAAGGAGTAAGAAACAGAGTAAGAGGAGTGCGGTGGGTTGAATAATGACCCCCAAAGATGTCTACATCCTAATTCCCAGAATCTGTAGATATGGTATCTTACATGGCAAAAGGGACTTTGCAGATATGATGACATTGGAAGTTTTTTTTTTGGTCGGAGTCTCGCCCTGTCACCCAGGCTGGAGTGCAGTGGCATGATCTCGGCTCACTGCGGGCTCCGCCTCCTGGGTTCACACCTTTCTCCTGCCTCAGCCACCCTAGTAGCTAGTAGGGGACTACAGGCGCCCGCAACCACGCCGGGCTAATATTTTTTGTATTTTTTTAGTAGAGATGGGGTTTCACCATGTTAGCCGGGATGGTCTCGATCTCCTGACCTCATGATCCACCTGCCTCCGCCTCCCAAAGTGCTGGGATTACAGGCGTGAGCCACTGTACCCGGCTGTTGCTTGTTTTCTGAGGCAGGCTCTCGCTCTGTCACCCAGGCTAGAGTGCAGTGGTGCAATCATGGCTCACCACAGACTTGACCTCCCAGGCTCAAGCAATCCCCCTGACTCAGCCTCCTGAGTAGCTGGGACTACAGGTGTGTACCCTGTCTGGCTACTTTTTACATTTTTTTTTTTTGGTAGAAATGGGGTCTCACTATGTTGCCTAGTCTGGTCTTGAACCCCCGGCCTCAATCTTCCTGCCTTAGCCTCCCCAAGAGATGAGATCACAGGTGTCAGCCGCCTCGCCCGGCCTGCCTTAGTCTTGAGATGGGGAGATGGATGCAGGTGGGCCCTGCTCTAGGAGCTGGAAAAGGCATGGAAACAGATTCTTTCCTGGAGCCTCCAGAAGGAACACAGCCTTAATTTTGCCTGTAAGACTCATTACTAATTTATTTTTCTTTCTTTAAGATGGGGTCTCACTATGCTGTCCAGGCTGATCTGGAACTCCTGGCCTCAAGTCATCCTCCCGCCTTGATCTCCCAAAGTGCTGAGATTACAGGTGTGAGCCACCATACCTGGCCTAATTTCAAATTTCTGACCTCCAGAATGGTGAGACAGTGAGTTTGTATTGTTTGGAGCCACTGAGTTTGTGGTAATATAATACAGCAGTAATAGGGAACTAATACATGGAGATGGGAAGAAGAGCTAAGAAAAGAGAGAAAAAGAGACAACATGCATGACATAGCAGAGGAAGAGAGGGGAAGAAAAGAACACAAAAAGAAAGAGAAGAATGAAAATAAAGAGTAATGAGGATGATAGGCCAGGTGCAGGGGCTCACGCCTGTAATCCCAGCACTTTGGGAGGCTGAGGTGGGCGGATCACCTGAGGTCAGGAGTTCAAGACCAGCCTGGCCAAAATCGTAAAACCTCATCTCTACTAAAAATACAAAAAGTAGCCAGGCATTGTGGTAAGCGCCTGGGATCCCAGATACTCAGGAGGCTGAGGGAGGAGAATCACTTGAACCCGGGAGGTGGACGTTGCAGTGAGCCAAGATCCTGCCACTGCACTCCAGCCTGGGCGACAGAGCAAGAACAACAACAAAGTAAGGATGACAATAATGATTTAAAAATTAGACACTTGTGCTTTGCACTGGGAAACTCACTGAGCTGCTCAGAATGACCGTACAAGGCAGGTTCTATTATGATTCCACAGGATAGGTGAGGAAATTGCGGCACAGAGAGTTGAAGTCATTTGGCTAAGGATATGCAGCCAAGACCAACACCCAACCAGGCTGAATCCAGAGTCACCGTTCCTACACACGACACCAGGGTGAGGGATAAGACAGAAGAAGGAAGAGAAGGACAGAAGGAAGAGAGTTGAAGAGAAAAAGAGATGAAAGGAAGGATAGAGGGCGAACAAATAACAGTTTATTTTATTTATCATTATTATTTTTTTAGAGACAGCGTCTCATTCTGTTGCCCAGGCTGGAGTGCAATGGTGCAATCATGGCTAACTGCAGCTTCAACCTCCTGGGCTCAAGTATTCTTCCCACCTCAGCCTCCTGTGTAGCTGGGACCAAAGGCATGTGCCACCCGCCAAGCTAATTTTTTTTTTTTTTTTTTGAGACGGAGTCTTGTTCTGTCACTCAGGCTGGAGTGCAAAGGAGCAATCTCAGCTCACTGTAACCTCTGCCTCCCCAGCTCAAGCGATTCTCCTGTCTCAGTCTCCCGAGTAGCTGGGATTACAGGCATGCACCACCACGCCCAGCTAATTTTTGTATTTTTAGTAGAGACGAGGTTTCATCATGTTGGCCAGGCTGGTCTTGAACTCCTGACCTCAGGTGATCCACCCGCCTTGGCCTCCCAAAGTGCTGGGATTACAGGCAGGAGCCACCGTGCCCAGCCCCGCCTGGCTAATTTTTTTGTAGAGACGGGGTCTCCGTATATTGTCCAAGGTGGTCTTGAACTCCTGGTCTCAAGCAATTCTCCCATATTGGCCTCCCTAAGTGCTGGTATTGCAGGTGTGAGCCACTGGGCCTGGCTTAATGACAATTTATCGAGTGCTTCCTGTGCGCTGGCACCATACTAACTGCTTGACACAAATTGACTCATTTAAGAAAAGGGACAAAGAGAGATAGACCCTAAGAGAAAGACTCAGAGACAGAGAGAGAACGAAAGATAAAAGGAGGCTGGGTGCGGTGGCTCATGCCTGTAATCCCAACACTTTGGGAGGCCGAGGCGGGAGGATGGCTTGAGCCCAGGAGTTTGAGAGCAGTCTGGGCAAATGGCAAGACAGCATTTTTACGAAAAAAGAAAAGATATAAAAGACACACAGAAAATTCAGAGACAGGCAGGCACACACAGAGAGAAAGATGGATGAAGTGAGAGAGACAGAGGAGTGAGAGAAATGTGGGGGTGTGGAGGTGGGGAGGACAGCACACTTGAACCTGGGCAGAGGGAAGTGGGCCCCTGCCCACCTGTCATCACAGTAGGTGAATTTCATGTCCAGGCTGTGGCGGCTGAGGAAGGCCCCCCGGCCCAGCGGGGGCTCCAGGCTGCCTGGGTGGGGGATGGCTTCGCAGATGAGCACCAGGCACTGTAGTGGCGGCTCTGAGTCGGGGCTCCCAGTTGGAGAAGTCTGTGCAGGGGGCTTGTAGGCCCTCATATGTCCAGAGCAATGCAGCACCTGGGGGCCGAGAAGCGGGGAGAAGGCAGTGGTGCCTCCGGGCCTGAGACCACCCATGAGGCTGAAAGATGCATCCTGTGGGCCCATCAGGGAGCTGAGATTCCAACCCCATGAAGACTCCAGGTTCAAAGGGGCTGAGGATCCCCAGCCCCAGGCCCATAGGAACCCCTCCTAAGAGAGTTTACAGGAGCCCCAGGTCCCAACTCCACAGACACCCATGCTCCTCGATGCACTGAGGACCCACTAGACCTGACCTGAGTGAGCCCCGCACAGTCCCCAGGCCAGGAGATGCCTGGACTCCAGCACCCTTCGAGATCTTTCGGGGCTCACACCCAGCCCCAGCAGCCCTGGCAGCCCCAGCATCCACGCCCTCCTCTGGCCCGGCCCCGCGCACCTTCCAGGTGGCCGCCTTGAGGTTGAGGGTGCGCCCGCGGCTGGTGAGCGTACTCTTCATGCGCAAGGAGAAGCACCGCTCTGTGGGGGCCTCCACCTTCCTCCTGGACAGGGCTGGGGAGGCCCGGGGGCAGGGGGGAGGTCACAGGCAGTTGCACACAGGCCCAGTGCCCTCCGGCACCCTGGCTGCTCAGGCCTCTGGAAGGTCTGAACCTTCCAGAGAGGGTTCAGACCCTCTCTGGAACCAGAGAGGATCCCCCAGGGGTAGTATGTGTCCCCTCAGACCCCCCAGGGCAGGGCTGTGTCCCGTCAGACCCCCCAGGGCAGGGCCATCTCTCCTCTTCCTACTTGTCTTTGTCTGGTGTTCCAGAGGAGGAGGGGATATGCTGAGGGAGGGGTGGAGCCTCAGCTTCCTCCTCTGTGTGGTGAGGACAGACGCTTCTGGGGAACTCACTCTGTTGGGGGGTCAGGGCGTCCTGAAGCTCCTCTTGGTCACAGGGGTGGATGAAATCAAAGATGCTGTGTCCGATGAGCTCCAGCTGCCGGGGATGAGAGGGGTTGGGGTCTACCAGGGCCTCTCACCCATCTCCTCCATCCCATCCTCATTCCCCTGCTCCAGTTCGCCGGCCTGATTGATTTCACCAGTCTCCCCATTCATGTATCCATCCATTTGTCCATCCATCCATCCATCCACTCAGCAAGCATTTATTCAGCACGTACCAAGTGCCAGGCCCTCATCTATCTATCTATCTATCTATCTATCTATCTATCTATCCATCCATCCATCCATCCATCCATCCATTATCTATCTATCTATCTATCTATCTATCTATCTATCTATCTATCTATCTATCTATCTATCTATTTTTTGAGATGGGTCATGCTCTGTTGCCCAGGCTGGAGTGCAGTGGTGCAGTGGTGCGATCATAACTTCCTGCAGCCTCAACCTCCTGGGCTCAAGCAATCTGATCCTCCCACCTCAGCCTCCTCAGTAGCTGGGACTACAGTCACACGCCATCACACCTGGATATATATATATATATATATAGAAATGGAGTCTCGCTCTGTTGCCCAGGTTGGAGTGCAATGGCACAATCTTGGCTCATTGCAACCTCCGCCTCCCTGGTTCAAGCGATTCTCCCACCTCAGCCTCCCGAGTGGCTGGGATTATAGGCATGTGCCACCATACCCGGCTACTTTTTGTATTTTTAGTAGTGGTGGGGTTTCACCATATTGGCCAGGCTGGTCTCAAACTCCTGACTCAAGTGATCTGCCTGCCTTGGCCTCCCAAAGTGCTGGGATTATAGGCGTGAGCCACCACATCCAGCTTTCGGCTAATTTTAAAAAAATTTTTTTGTAGAGATGGGGGTCTCACCATGTTGCCCAGGCTGGTCTCAAACTCCCGAGCTCAAGCAATCCTCCCACCTTGGCCTCCCAAAGTACTGGAATTATACGTGGGAGCTACCGCACCTGGCTCTTCTAAATGGTATGGACACAGTGACCACACACACAAATCCCTGCCTTGAAGAGCTTACTGGCCAGTGGGGTGAGACAGACAGTGAATGAAAGAACAGATAATAACAATATAACAAGTAACACGAAGAAAACAAAAGAAGGACAAGGTGACGCAATGATGGGAGGCTGCTTTAGAGACAGTGGTCTAGACAGTTTCTTTGAAGAGGTGACATTTAAAAAGACTGCTGAACAAAGCAAGTGAGGAGGCCTTGTGGCCCCCTGCAGTAAGAGTATTCCAGAAAGAGGGAACAGTAAGCGCAAGGCCCTGAGATGAGACTCCATTCAAATCACACTTGGCTGGCAGGCCGAAAACCCAACTCTTCATTTCAGTTTAGGAAATGAGCCTGGTGCTGGGAGGGGACACAGATGAAGGTGGACCCTATTGGCTCACCATGTGAATGGTGCTGGTGCTGGTGAATAGGGAAAGAGGGCGATCTCGCTCCTCTGACAACATCTCTTGTAGCTGGAGTCGAATCCTGGCTGTGCCACTTCCTAGCTTTGGGACCTCAGGACATTCATCTCTCTGGGTCCAAAAAGCTCACTCACACTGACAGAGAAATTGGTACCAGGAGTGGGGTAACCAGGCAGAGAAAAGGAACAGATACCAACTATTGCGCCCATTTATTTGAGATTAAAAAAAAAAAGAATGGGAACTGTCTTATAGGCCTTGCTGTAAGGATGAATTAAAGTTAGTTCTACTTTCTACGCTCGCTTAGGCAGCACGTATGCTAAAAATTGGAATAACACAGAGAAGATTAGCATGGCCTCTGTGCAAGGATGATACGCAAATGCATGAAGCCTTCCATGTTAATTAAAAAAGTAAATTTTACTTTCTAAATGTCTCTTGTTCTTATCTTTCCATCCCCATGGCCCCTGCCACTGTTCCTCTTCTCCCACCTGAGATTGGCATCTACCCATTGCTGATCTCTCAACCTCTGATCTCACTCCCTCCAAATCTACCTCCATGCTGTACCTAGAGGATCTTTCAAAAATGTAAATCTGATTCTACCTCTCTGGCACAACCTCTCCACTGCTTAAACTCCTATAGCTCCCCAGGGTCCTGGAGATAAAGCTAAGTTGGCCTTACATTTGGCCACAGGCTACCCTGATGACCTCTCTAGCCTTTTGTCTCTCAGCTTCTCCTATTGCACTCTGCACCTAGGAGGATAAACTTTTGTTTGTTTGTTTGTTTGTTTGTTTGTTTGTTTTTGAGACTGGATCTTGCTCTGTCACCCAGGCTGTAGTGTACTGGTGCAATCTTGGCTTACTGCAACTTCCACCTCCCAGGCTCACATGATCTTCCCACCCCAGCCTCCCAAGTAGCTGGGACCACAGGCGTGTGCCAGCACATCTGGCGAAATTTTTGTATTTTTGGTGGAGACAAGGTTTTGCCATGTTGCCCAGGTGAAACACTGAACTCCTGAACTTAAGCTATCCTCCCATCTTGGCCATTCAAAGTGCTAGAATTACAGGTGTGAGCCACTGCCCATGGCCAACTTCTTTATTTCCCCAAATTATCCTGTTTCTTTCTCACCTCTTGGCCTTTGCCTCCTCTGTTCCCTCTGCCATGTACATTCCTGCCCTTCACTGATCCCATCCATTCTCCATACCCCTTTGACCAGCTAAGTTCTTCAGATTTCAGCTCAGACGTCTTCTCCTCCAGGAAGCCCTCCATTCCCACCCAGGCTGGGTCAGGTACACCCCACCCCTGTGCTCCCACAGCCCCCTAGACTGTCCCATCCCAGACCTGACCATTCTGGGTCTTCCTGTCTAGTGACATACCTATATTCCCTTTGTACTGTGAGTCCCATAAAGGTAGGGCTATGGCTGTCCTGGTCACCACTGTATCCCCAGCATCACCAGTACAGGGCCAGGCACAGAGCCAGGAGCTCCTCTCACCTGACTGAGGCCCAGGTGTTTGCTGACATTCTCCGACAGGTAAGCCATGTCTCCCTCGGTGGTGAGCACCATGACGAAGCCCTCCAGGGCCTTCAGGTAGCAGGCATCCAGTGGTTCTCCCCCTGCTCCCACCTGGTTCCACTCCCCTGGTGCCCGGGGCAGGGGGGATGGGGGCATCTCTAGTCAGTTATGGACTGAATTATGAACTGGCCCTGGGCTAGCCTCCCTCTGCCTTGCCTCATTCAGAGAAACTTACATGCACCCCCGAGGGAGTGGGGGTACATCCTAGTGACCTGGATTCCCAAGGAAGAAAGCAGGACTAAGAAGCGCTGGAATTAGAAGCAGGGCCTCCCGGGGGGCAGAATTCTAAGGAAGTAGGAGTCTCCCAAGGGAACGGAATTCTAAGGATGTGGGTGGGCCTCCTAGGAGGACAGAATTCTAAGTGGATGGAACTCCCCAGGGTCAAAATATGAAGGGGCCAGGGCCTAGGGGGAATTGTAATACAGAGCTGATGGGGAAGCCTCGAAGGGGTTCAACACTCATGGAGGGCAGGATGTTCCAGAGGGACAGAACTCCAGAGAAGCAGGGGCTCCCAGAGGACAGACTTCTAAGGGGGTAAAGCCTCCAAGAAAAGTAAAATTCTATGGGGCAAGTCAAATGGGCAGAGCCTCCCAGAGAATAACACTACCTCCCCCGCTTTCAGGGTCCTGGGATTCCATGGGGTTTATGTGTGAGTGTATGTGTGTGTGTGTGCGTGCGTGGCAAAGCCCGCTGCACGGTGCAATTCTAACTGGGTGGAAATTCAAGGAGATGCCTACTAAAAGAACAAGTGATGTAGAACTAGAGGGGTGGGGAAGGGACAAGGGACTCTCAGGTTCAGCAATGAAAAGTTGGGCGGCGTGGCCTCCCAGTGGATGTATTACGAGACCAGGGCCTATCCATCTGGGAGAGTCCCCGAGAGGATGAAATCCTAAGGATTTAAGGGTTAGGGGATTCTCTGCGAGTCCTAAGGAGGCGGGGCTTCCAAAGGGCGCGTTCCAGAGGGCGGGGCCTCACAAGTGATCGACTTCTAAGGGGGTGGGACTCCCAGCACGCCAGTAACTCAAAGGGGGCGGGGTATCCCCTGGGAAGTGGGATTCCAGGGGGGTGGGGCTCCGCCGAGAAGACGTCCACCAGGGGGCGGGGCTTTGTCAGAATGCGGCTTCCCGGAGGAGGGGCCTCCATGGGATGTGGGCGGGGCCTGGCCAAGACGGGTATTCCCACGGGCGGGGCTCACCTGCGGTGCAGAGGCGGTGCATGCGCAGGTAGCTGATGGTGAGGCGCATGATGGAAGCCTTGTCCAGGTGGGCGCTGACGCCGCGTGCGAAGGGCAGCGTGTGGGCCAGCTGGTACAGCACCTCGGTCTCCTGGCTGCGCCGGCTGCGGGCCGCATCCCGGGACTTCTCCTTGCGCAGCTCGGTGGTCGACCTGAGAGCATGGGCAGCGTTCACTGGTGGTGACTCGGGAAAGACAAGAGGAGGACGGGACGAGCACCTGGGGAGCTGCCACCTGGGGCTGGGGCTCGTGGAGGGCTGGACCGCAGCTGCGCAGGCCTCGATGTGTGGCCCTGTCGAGTTCGCGGCGCTTTCTGGGCCTGGGACGGCTACACTGTGGAGCCCTCCTAGCCCTGAATTTACCTGTGGTCTTGCCAGTCCATGCTGCCTCCTGCGCCTCGCTCCTCTCTGTGGCGCGCCTAGAGCCGCTCTGTCCCCTCCCTGACTTATCTGCAGTTTATTTCCCGGGCTAGGGACGCCTAGGGGACAGGGAGGGCCCCTGCTGGGAGAGGGCTGGCTGAGCTGGCCCAGGGCCAGAGAAGGGAGGGCCCACGAAGGAGAGGCCTAAAGCCTCCCAGGCCCCCTGCCCTACAGTTTCCCAGAATCTCCTCCTCTGCCCTTTCACTTCAACTGAGCCATCCTGTGAATCTTGGAACATAGATCTCAAAGTCTAACGACGAACCACGAACAGGGGCCCTAAGAGGGGCAGGGACCCGCCAGGGTGACACAGCAAAGCAACCTGTTCTGTTTACCACTCACCCTGCCCTGTAATCCACTTCAAATACCTACATTTTGCATGTGGGGTTGGAAGAATAAGTGTCGTTTTATGAGAAATATCTGCCACCTATCCAGCTTTTACTATTTTGTCACTCCTGGTGCCAAGCGTGAAACTTACGTTAACCCGTCTAATGCTCAGTCAACCCAGAAGGAAGTTGATAACGCCCCATTGAACAGATGAGGACACGGAGGATCAGACAGGTGCAGTGCCTGCCCACAAATAGGGAAGCCTGCCTTTAAACAATAGTCTACCTAAACTCTCAAATTTTCTCTCTCTATGGGCCTGGGTTTATGTCCAGGATTTTAGCTCTTCTCCCTGTTTCTGCCACTGTCTTCAAAATCAAACTCCAGGTCTGTCTGAACCTAAAGTTGTTTTTTTTTTTCTTTTCTTTTCCTTTCTTTTCTTTTTTCTTTTCTTCTCTTTCTTTTTTTTGAGACAGGCTCTCACTCTGTTGCCCAGGCTGGAGTACAATGGCATGAATATGGCTCACTGCAGCCTCAACATCTTAGGCTCAGGCCATCCTCCAGCCTCAGCCTCTTTATGTAGCTGGGACCACAGGTGTGCACCAGCACACCCAGCTAATTTTTGTATTTTTTGTAGTGACAGTGTGTCATTTTATTGTCCAGGCTGGTCTTGAACTCCTGAACTCAAGTGATCCTCCCACCTTGGCCTCTCCAAATTCTGGGATTACAGGTGTGAGCCACCACGCCCGGCTTCTTTACTTTCATATAAAATTACAGCCGGAAGCGGCTATAATTTGGAGGGTGAGACAGAGGATCACTTGAACCCAGGTTCAAGGTTACAGTGAGCTATGCTTGTGCCCCTGCACTCCATCCTGGGCGACAGCTGTCTCTAAAAAAAAGACAAAAAACAGGCCGGGCGCGGTGGCTCACGCCTGTAATCCCAGCACTTTGGGAGGCCGAGGCCGGTGGATCACGAGGTCAGGAGATCGAGACCATTCTGGCTAACCAGTGAAACCCTATCTCTACTAAAAATACGAAAAATTAGCCGGGCATGGTGGCGGGTGCCTTGTAGTCCCAGCTACTGGAAAGGCTGAGGCGGGAGAATCGCTTGAACCTGGGAGGCGGAGGTTGCAGTGAGCCAAGATCTTGCCACTGCACTCCAGCCTGGATGACAGAGCAAGACTCCGTCTCAAAAAAAAAAAAACAAAAAACAAAAACACAAACAAAAACAGAAACCGAAAAAAACAAAACAGACAAAAAACAAATTAGCAAAAATAGAAAAAATAAAAAATTATTACATGATGTATTACATCTAGTATATTGTATATATAGTCTAGTGTAGTATATTATATATATAGTCTCATCCACATTTATAATATTGATAAATATTACCATTAGTAAGAGGCAGCTGTCATTTGCTAAGCATTTGTGTGCTTGCTACTGTACTATGTATTTTATATGTATTCATCCAATCCTCAGGGGACCCCTAGGAGGGAGGCATTCTATTTTTTATTTATTTTTTTAATTTTTAATTTTTTTTTTTTTTTGAGATGGAGTTTCCCTCTGTCGTCCAGGCTGGAGTATAATGGCACGATCTCGGCTCACTGCAACCTCTGCCTCCCGGGTTCAATTCTCCTCCCTCAGCCTCCCGAGTAGCTGGGATTACAGGCCTTTGCCACCATGCCCGGCTAATTTTTGTATTTTTAGTAGAGACGGGGTTTCGCCATGTTGGCCAGGCTGGTCTCGAACTCCTGACCTCAAGTGATCTGCCCACCTCAGCCTCCCAAAGTGCTGGGATTACAGGCGTGAGCCACCGTGCCCGGCGGAGGGGGACATTTTAAACTTCCACTTTACAATGGGGAGACTGAGACTGAAAGGTGAAGTCCTTGCCCAAGAAGCCCCAAAGCCAACAACTGGCAGAGCTGGGATTTGAATCTGGGCAGTGAGTTTCAGGCTTTTTCTCATCCCCTCCTTGGGACCCATCTGAGGGAAGCAGAACCTCTAGGAGGGGTCACTGTCCCTTCCTAAATTCAAGAGCAGAGGCGGCTTCTGGGGTGGCATCAACCCCAGCCTCGGGCAAGAGACCTGTAGCCCCACCACCCAGGGCGAGGGGATATTTTCCTGTCTGGAGGCAGAAGGAAAATAAAATCCTCAGTACAGCAGGGTGGGAGGCACAGAAGACGGCAGGCTGGATGGAGGGTTGGAGCAGGGGAGATACTGCCCCTGTCCCCGCCCCCTCCCTCCTGGCTGGTGGGGGCAGGGGCCTCAGTCCTGCCTGCCTGAGAGGACATGCCGTCCTGTTCTGTTCCAGCCCTGTTTGTCTTCCTGCCCAGAGGGTGGGGGCGAGAGGGCCTCACGGTGCTGGGGGCCCGACAGAGGGAACAGGGAGTGGGAACCGGCAGGGAGGTGGGGCCAGCGCCTCACCTCCTAGGCAGCTGGGCTCTGTAATCCTCTGTGGCTGGGCTGCTTCTTCCATAGAAGGAGCCAGCTGGTGGCTGCGGAGGGACCCTCCTTCTAACTCCCAGCCTGCCCTCTGGATGTTCTACTGGGAAGTGTGGGTCTTTCCCATCTCACAGACTGGAGGCTAGTTCCTCTGGCTCAGGGTTCCAATCCTGACTCTACTACTTATAAACTCCACTACTTATAAGCTCCACTACTTACAAGCTCCACTACTTACAAGCTCCACTATTTATAAGGTGTGTGACGACTTATAAGCTGTGTGAACGTAATCGTGCTCTGTCGCCCAGGCTGGAGTGCAGGGGCTCGATCTCGGCTCACTGTCACCTCCGCCTCCCAAGTTCAAGCGATTCTCCTGTCTCAGCTTCCCGAGTAGCTGGGATTACAGGCGCCTGCCACCACGCCTGGGTAATTTTTGTATTTTTAGTAGAGACAGGGTTTCACTATGTTGGCCAGGCTGGTTTCGAACTCCTGACCTCAGGTGATCTGCCTGCCTAGGACTCCCAAAATGTTAGGATTACAGGCGTGAGCCACCGCGCCCAGCCAAGGTTAGACTTATTATTCTCCCTCTGTGTATGTCAGAGGTGGAAAGCATGGGTTTAGGAGCTTCTTGGGCTTTAGAGTAACCTGTGGGTTACCCTCCCCATAGTGTGGTATGTGCATGCAATTACCTACATGGTTTTTACGCAAGCATCTTAAAAGGAGGACTGAATAACAGTGATACTGTAATAATGATAGCATTGGTGTGTTGAACACTCACGGAGCTAGAGACCCCGTTAAGTCCTTACTACAACCCTACTGAGCAAGAAAAGTGATTTCTCCTTCAAACAGGCAGAAACCGAGAGTCGGAGCAATGGTATCCCCAGCCCAAGTAACCCAGCGCCCTCCATCGACACTGAACTATGTTCAACCACTTCTCAGTGAATCTGACCATGTTCCTGCAATGACTTTCCCCATTTTCCGGATGAGGAAGGAAGCCCAAAGAGGTGATGAAACTTGCCTGAAGCCACACGGCTTTTAGTAGCAGAGCCAGGATTCAAACCAGGTCTGTCTACTCTGACTTGAACTCACTTTGTGGCACACCTATTGGGTGTTCTGCCCCCGACCATCTGCTGCCTCACTACTGGCTCCTCATCTTGATCTGGGATGGTGGAAAGGGAGTGTGATCCCCAGTTTTCTTTGATTTTTTTTTTTTTTTTTTTTTTTTTTTGAGACAAGGTCGGGCTCTGTTGTCCAGGCTGGAGTGCAGTGGCCTGATCTTGGCTCACTACAACCTCTGCTTCTCAGGCTCAAGCCATTCTCCCACCTCAGCCTCCTGAGTAGCTGGGACTACAGACACTCACCACCATGCCTGGCTGATCTGCGTATTTCTAGTATAGATGAGATTTTGCCATATTGCCCAGGCCCGCCTCGAACTCAAGCAATCTGCCCACCTCAGCCTCCCAAAGCGCTGGAATAACAGGCCTGAGCCACTGCACCCGGCCTCCCCGTATTTCCAGGACCTGAAACTGAGGCTCAGAGCAGCAGTCACTGATACAAGTCCACGCCACCAGGAAGTGGGTGAGAAGGGATTTGAACCCTGACTTTGGGGCCTGTGCTCTTGGTAGGTGTGCCCACCGCCCAAGGGGCCCCTGCCCTGCCCCTCTTTTGCCTAGCAGCCTCAGTCCCTTCCCCCGTCACACCCCTGCTGCCTCCAGATCGCCCCAGCTGGCCCCATGCCCAGCCCTGGTCCAGCCCCCTGGCACTCTGCCCAGCTTGGGACGTGCAGCTGGAACCCTGCCACCCTTCGTCCGTGTTCCAGCCAAGAACAGGGGGTGGGGCCAGGGCCTGGAAGGCTCAGGGTGAGGCCTGAGAATGGGGGTTGGGGCCCAGTGCCCCCCTCCAACCAGGAAGGAGAGAAGTTCACCTCTTCCCTGCCCTGAAGAACTTGCCACCCGTGAGGAAGGCGTAATAAAAGCAGGGAGTCCCTGCTCCACATTCAGGGCTACTTCTGGGCTTTTCTCTTCTGACACTCAGCTGGGTACTAGGGGGTCTTACGAAAAGCACAGAGGATTTGGTGGGTGGGGGCCTAGGTTGTAGCTGGGCAAGGATGCCTCTTGGCACTGCCCAGAGCTGTCCTGACAGACCAGACGCAGGGTTTGGGTTTGCAAAGGGACTTGGCATGAGGGTCTGTGGGAGTCTCTCTGTCCCCTGACTCTGCTTGTTCCCAAGGACATGGTAATCTGGTGGGGTGCCGGTCCCCAAAATCCTATCTTCTCCAGGAACCTTGTACCTCACTAGACACTCTGGGCTGCAAGCCGTACCCACCAGGGACTTCCCAAGAGCATCCTTGCCCACAGTGGGATGGCAGCCAGCCCCAGCTAGAGGAAGGGAAGGGGGAAAAGGGGTTTGGGGGGCCCACTCACCATCGCCCAGGCCCCCTTTGGCTGAAGGGCCATCCAGGGGATGCAGGAGGGGACGCAGCGCAGCCAGGACCCGGGTGCGAGTTACGAGTGGGTGGCGCGCGGCGGTGAGATGACTCCACAGGAAAGGGCCGGCCTTGGGTGGGGAGGGGGGAGCACCCCAGCTCAGCCAAGAGGGGCCCCCACCCAGCCAGGAGGGGGCGCTGAGAAGGGCGGGACGACAGCTGGCCCAAAAAGGGTGGGATGGAGTTCCCTGGTAGGCCCAGAGCCAGGGCCTGGAATAGAGTGGGGGAGGGGGGAGAGGATGGGGGGGTTAGAAACATGGGGTGTGCACGGATCCAATCAGGCCTGAGAAACCAGGGAGGAGAGAAGGAGGTGAGGCTTACTGGGTGCCTCACATTGGACAGGGAAAGCTGAGGACCTAGAACATTTTCCAGAGTCCCATGAGAACATGGCCAGATAAGACCCCATGGCAGCGGCCCCAGGGCACAGGTTCCTTGTGTTCCAGCAGAGCTGCACCTGCTGGGAGGTGAACCCAGAAACCCACCCTCTGCCCGGGAAGACCCCAGCTGAGCACTGCGGCAGGGGGCGACCCCATCACAGCCTGCAGGCTCACAGCACCCCGCCATGGAATCTCCCCAAAATAAAGCTTGAATGAGGCTCCCCTGTCTCTCAGGATGGGGGTGGAGGGGTGAGATGAGGGGCTGGACTTTGGGACGTGAGTCCAGCTTGTTTCCCTGTTATTTAAGGGAGTGACTCTGGCTTTTGAAAGGATACAAAACGTCTCTTAGGAAGGGTCCCAGATGGCTTCTGAAAGGGGTTCCCCTCTGCCCATTTCTAGGGAAACCCAACATTTAGGAGACTGTATCAGGAAGGGTACTATCAGAGGAGATCTCTCCTCTCTTGAATTCAGGAGAAGAATGCCATTCCAAGGGACTCCCTATATGTGGGAAGGCTCAATTTAGGGGTATCCCATATCACCTAGGATCCCAGGGACCTGGTGGAAAAGAACACCCTCAATTTGGGGAGTTCAGAGGCCAGAGGGATCAATATGTGGCGGGAGAATACCTCCCGCCTGGGGACTGCTCAAATGCAATCACCCCTAATTTATCAGGAATCCCAAGTTCCACCCCCAACCAGAAGGGTAAGCGAGCCTTGGGTAACGAAAAATCGGGGACCCCGAAGCCGCTCTTGGCCAGAGGGGCGGGGCAGCCAGAGACATAGGGAATCCCCCACCCCTGCAGTCTCTAAGGGTGGGAGAGTGCGGCGGGGATGTGCCTCCATCTGCGCGTCCCGGGGCGTTCTTGTTTCGCACCCGCGAACCGCCTCCCCACAATCCAGCTCAGGGGTCTCCAGGAGGAGAGCCCCCCAATTCCCAGAACTCCTGCCCCCGAACTTCAGTACCTTGCGCGCTGCAGCCCCAGCGCCATGGCTCGCAGGTCGCCGCTCCGGAGCCCTCGGAGGCCCCTAGCCCCCTCCCCGGCCTTGCGAGCCCCCTCCCCAGCTCCTCCCCACGCCGTGAGGTTGGCTGTGCCGCGCCAGGCCCGCAGCTCTGATTGGGCGAAGGGTATGTCACTCCTGAAAAGGAGGCGGAACCAGGGGAAAAGACTTGGAAAGGCAAAGGGGGTGATACCGTGTAATACACACCCCCCAACCACGCCTCTCGCCGCGGACTTCCTAGACAGTGGATCCCGCACCGTCGCCTGGCCGCGCCTTCTCTGGCCCAGCCTCTAAAGTGCCAACGCCAGTACTCTTCTGAACTCACCCAGTTCACTCTGCTCTCTGCACCCCAGTCCCCAGCCTCTAACCCCCACCTCCTCTCACCTTTCCATTTCCTAACCCCAGTTGGGCCCTTCCGACCTCCCAATTCCACCCCTTTCAACCCCCTAGCCTCCTCTATCCCTTCTAAGGTATTCACAGAGTACCCTACTTCCCCTCCCCACCCTCCAACTCCCAACCCCACCCCAGTTACACAATCCCTGGCCCTCTGGCACCTACCCTTCCCTGTCACTCCCCAGCTCCTCCCTGCCGCCCCTGTCCCATACCCCACCTCGCCCCCGTTCCTCCAGTCTGCACCCTCTGCACCCCAGCTTGCCTTCCCCCACCCCCTCTACTCCACCCTAACCTCTTGGCCTTTCTGACTCCCTTTTCAGGTCCCCACTGATGAATAATTAAGCTTATGTCAAGTAAATATGTTTTAATTCAATCACACCTACTTTAAAAAGAGCTGAGAAATAGTTTTTTGTTGTTGTTGTTGTTGTTTAACTAGTCAACTATGAAGGGAGAGGTACAAAGTTACCTAGCAATAATGAAATAATTACAGTTGGATAAGGAACTGTGTGTGTGTGTGTGTGTGTGTGTGTGTGTGTGTGTGTGTGTTGGACCACTATTCTGCATTTGGTTGGCAGGGAAGAGGATACTATAGCAGAAGTGGCCTTGTTGAACCTTGAACTTGCCAGGCAAGTTGCTCACCTGAGGGCCTTTGCACTTGCTGTTGTTCCCACAGCTTAGAACACTCTTCCTCCAGGAATCCACACAGCTCCCCGGCTCACCCCAGTACCCCACTCTGTTTTCTTTTGGGAAACCACTTCTCTCTCCTCTTCATCTATTTAATTTGAATAGGGTTTAGCCACTGCTCCACCCTCACCAGCTCCAGGGATGGACACAGGATCCAGACCTGGCTAATCAGTTGAGTCTGCTTCCCTGGCCACAGTGATTGGTTCAGGGAAGGCACGTTACCTAATTTAGCCCAATGAGAATCAACCCTGAGACATTTGCTGCAACCATCAGGAAACAGGTTTTTCTATTTCTGCTGGAATTGCCGAGCAGACGGAGCAGATGGAGCAGATGGGGCTCACACTGCCACAAAGAGAAGAGAGGCTTTATGAGATGAGGTTCAGTGCAAAAGAGATTGTGCAGAAATGAGCGACTGTGAAAGGCAGTTTTGACCCCAGTACTTGAGTGCCTGGATCCAGCCATACCTGAACTCCACTTTAATTCTTGGATTTTCAAATGAAACCCACGATGGGCTTTTTTTTTTTTCTGTTGCTCTTGTTAAATATTGCTTCATTCACTATTGCCTTTTTTGCTTTGTGCTTAGATTAGTTTGAATGGATTTTAGATGCTTGCTCCCAAGAGAATCTTGATATATAGAGAAACTAACTCTCAACCCTCAGTATGGAGGCATGTGGGATGTTAGAAAAGGAGCAGTCTGAATTATAAAGGGGGGCCGACCATGGTGGCTCATGCCTGTAATCCCAGCACTTTGGGAGGCTGAGGTGGGCAGATCACCTGAGGTCAGGAGTTGGAGACCAGCCTAGCCAACATGGTGAAACTCCGTCTCTACTAAAAATACAAAAATGAGCCGGGCGTGGTGGCACACCCTTGTAATCCCAGTTACTCGGGAGGCTGAGGCAGGAGAATCGCTTGAAGCCAGGAGGCAGAGGTTGCAGTGAGCCGAGATTGTGCCATTGCACTCCGGCCTGAGTGACAGAGTGAGACTCTGTCTCTTAGTAAATAAATAGTAGAAGGGGCTGCAGAGGAACCAATGCTCTTAGAGCTTGTCAGGGTCTAGGTAAAGACACGGAGTAGAAGAAGTGTTCAAGGGACAAACTGAGGAAGGGGCGTGATTGTTAACAAGGCATCAAGAGTTCCAGTGAGTGTGTTGGAAGAGTTTGGAGGGGGCAGTCGTTGGATGATAGGTTGAGTGGAAGAGAAGAACTCATTGCTTTTGGCATGAGGGAGTCGTAGCAGAGAGCCAATCGGAGGGATTTACAGTGCCCAAGAAAAGCTGGCACTAGTTCAACAAACATTAAAATAGAACTAACACTTTATATATAGAGATGCAACAGGTGTCTCTCTATGATGTAGGATAGCGTTAAACTTCACTCGGAGGTTCCCAGCAGCTAAGGCAATAAGGGAAATGTGTCTGTTGAAATGGTTTCCAATTTTTGCTAAAGGATGTGTTCTTGTTTGTCTGAAGAGACAAGTTTTGTACCTGGAACCGAAGTTAAGGGGGAATTTAAGACCTTTTAATATTAAAATGTAGAGTGGTCTGAGCTGCCAGGAACTGTGGGAGCTTGGTTGCAGCGCCTCACCCTCCTGTCAGGGTTGTCAGAAAGGTTTATTGTGGAAGGGACGTTTGGATGCAGACTTGAGGAGGAATAACAGTGAGGCAAGAAGAGAGAGGGTTGGGTACAGCCGAGTGCAGTGGCTCTCACCTGTAATCCCAATGACTCAGGAGGCTAAGCGGGGAGGATTGTTTGAGGCTAAGAGTTTGAGACCAGCCTGGGCAACATAGCAAGATCCCATCTCTTAATTTTTATTTTATTTATGTATGTGTTTATTTATTTTTTGAGACTGAGTGTCAATCTTGTCGCCTAGGCTGGTGTTCACTGGCGTGATCTTGGCTCACTGCAACCTCTGCCTCCCAGGTTCAAGCAATTCTCTTGCCTCAGCCTCCTGAGTAGCTGGGATTACAGGCACCTGCCACCACACCCGGCTAATTTTTGTCTTTTTAATAGAGACAGGGTTTCACTATGTTGGCCAGACTGGTCTCAAAATCCAGACCTCAGGTGATTTGCCCGTCTCAGCCTCCCAAAGCCTCCCATCTCATGCCTCTGGGATTAGAGGCATGAGCCACTGCACCTAGCCTCCATCTCTTAATTTTTTTTTTTTAACTTTGCCAGGCATGGTGATGTGCGCCTATAGTCCCAGTTACTTGGGAGGCTGAGACGGGAGGATTGCTCAAGCCCAGGAGCTGGAGGCTGCAGTGAGCTATGATTGTACCACTGCACTCTAGTCTGGGCAACAGAGTGAGACCTCATCTCTAAAATAAATAAATACATGAATGAAAGGGCTGGGGGGAAAGTACTGTAGGCAAAGGGAAGAGAATATAACAGTGTGGAGGCAAAAGAGAGCTTGGTACATTGAGGGAACTGACAGGTAGACTGTGGTTGCAGCCTGGAGTATAAAGAGAGGAGATGGGAAGTGTTGGTGGAGGGGTGCATGGGAATGAGATCACACCAAGTCTGAAAGCCGTTAGAGAATCTCGGGCATTCCCCAGGGAGCACTGGGGAGCCATGGCAGAGTTTTGAGCAGGACAGAACACAACACTAAGGATTCCTCTGGGAGCTGGATGTGGTAGTTCACACCTGTAATTCCAGGTTTGGGAGGCCAAGGCAGGAGGATTGCTTGAGGCCAGGAGTTTGAGACAAGCCTGAGCAACATAGTGAGAGCCCATCTCTGAAAAAAATTTAAAAGTTAACTGGGCATGGTGGCATGCACCTGTAGTCTTAGCTACTCAGGAGGCTGAGGAAGGAGGATTGATTGAACCCAGGAAGTTGAGGCTGCAGTGAGCTATGATCCTGCCATATGCTCCAGCCTGGGTGACAGAAACCCTGTATTAAAAAACAAAACAAAACAAAACAAATTCCTCTGGAAGGTGAATGAGAGGGAGTGATATTAGAGATCAGAGAACAAGAAGGAGGCTGGGCTGGGGTGGTGACCTGGGTGTAAATAAGAGATGCCTGGGCCAGGGAAGGGGCCATGGAGATGAAGGAAAGGGGATAGACTGAAGAGATATTGAGGTTCATCATTAGTAGAATGGATAAGCAAATTGTGGTATGCCCATGCAGTGAATACTATCAGCAAGAAAAAAAAATAATGAACTATTGATACACATACATCATGGATGACTCTGGAAAACCTTATGATGAGTGAAAGAAGCTAGACACAGAAAAGAATGTATTATGCAATTTCATTTAAATGAAGTTCCAGAACAAGTAAGGCTAATGTACAAGTGGGAAAAACATCAGGGGAGTCCTTCTTTATCTTGACAGAAATTTGGGTTACACCGGTATATAAATTTGTCAAAACTTAGTGAATGGCACACTTCAGATATGCTCATCTTGTATATAAACTGTACTTCAAAATAGAAAATAAAGAATGGTAAACAAATACTGATAGACACTCTGAAGGACTTATGAGACAGGGTACTGGTGTCTGCAACTTTCATTGAACTGCATCAAAACTAAGCTGGAGTGGGCCAGGCACGGTGGCTCACGCCTGTAATCCCAGCACTTTGGGAGTCCAAGGCGGGCAGATCATGAGGTCAGGAGA